TTAATATCACAAAGCCAGTTCGAGCAATACATTTTATAAAAGTCAATACTTTACTGATTACCCTGCAAGACAAAAAAATACTGTAATCTACTTATAGATTGATCTGTGATGCATCTTGTTATAAAATATTTGCTAGTACTTTTCAAGTTTTACTACAATCATATATCGATATTTCATGTGTAACACTGTTGAATTATAAGCTATCAAGATAATAAATTATACGATCAATTGTACTGCTAATTTAAGATCAATAAATACATAATTTTTGTTGTAATTAAACAGGAGGTATTAGTGTCTATTTTAATATTTCTTTATATAAATGTCTACGTAGAAAACATATTTTTCAACCTACATATTATAATGTTTTAATTCTTATTCATAATAAAACCACTCTGATTAAAACTTTAACCAATATAAGTTAAACATATTACATAAACAACAAACAGTGCCATTCGGAAACTGCAAATAGAACTGAAACGTTATAAATATTTTAAATGTACATCACAAACGATACTGACAATCCGAATTTACAAAAAGAAAGAATTTGTGAAAAAATTCAGCTCATATTGATAGTCGGACTCATTGTGAACCGATATTGTCGGTTTAACCAAATGACCCAATCACTAGCATACGTTTACAAAAAATTCAAGATACGGTAGAATCGACTGAAATAAAACGAAAACAAACAGAGATAAAAGTGAGCTCGGAGCTTTCATAAGATCGAATTGGCGGATCATATAGAGGACCGGCTCTGATGGTTCTAGGTTAAGAATAAAATCATATCGGTTAGTAATGCATGAAAAGCAGAACGCACACTTGTGGTGAAAAATCGCGTGTACACGTAGACGAATTTTGTTACGGTACGTGAATGATATAAAAGCATAAACACGGAAAAAGGTTTTGTGACACGCGTCCCAATGGAGAACACGACTCGACTTACCTTGCGAAAGAAGAAGAGGAAGAAGAGTCAGTCATTTTCGAAAGACACCGCTCGTGACGCGAATTCTATTAATTTTCATCCAGATTTTTTCGAGCATAGCATTCAGCCGGTGCACAAATTACATAATAAGGACCATTAGATCGGATGACACACAAGATCCCGCGTGCTGTTTACATGAGACCCCGAGTCTTTTGATAACAATTCCGACGCAGTGAAAAATTTCAATCGACCTGCCCCGTGCAACTTTATCGCCGAGTTATAGCCTGCGATATCGTCGATTTCGACTAGCGTGCACCGCTACCAAGATAAAGCCATGCCGTTAATCAATTTATTGGCTCGTCGATCGCTCGCATGACGTTTTTTTTTCGAAAATACACCATAGTTCCGTTCTGCCCGCTGTACGCAAAATCACCACAGCGGACGCAACGTGTGTAAATAGAACAGCGACGAAACTTATTAGGCTGCTTCAAACGTTCTGCTGCAATTTGCAATCGATCCTATCGAGATTTGACGAATAACGGTACGGGCAATTTCAAAAAGTTAGACAAATTCTTTTCCTCATTTAAGCACTAGTTTAAATCCATTTCATGCAGTGCGAGAGAGAATGACACACAAAAGGTCTGAGATTTTAATGCAAGCCAGTTTTCGAAATAGAGAACTGGAAACGTATGCGTACATCTACATATGTTTATATTGTCTTCAAAATTTGAATATGTTTTTCTCGGAACAACATTTTTCAGTGTAGAAAATTTCTCGAATTTTGATTGTTTAATTATCTTGTTGCGAAATAGAAAACGTAAAATGAACGACGAAAGTATTATTATAGTGTATATTAAAACATTTACGGTTCTTATAATTTAAAAAAAATTGGAAAATAGAATCCTCAATAAGTAGGGAATACACATAAGTAATATAGTTTGTAATATATTTTAGATCTGTCTTTAGTTAATCCGATTTTCCAGAATAGAACTATTGAAATGAAAATCGCGAGAAAATTTGGTACCTCTGGTAAGGATTCTAAGAAATGCCGATTAAATATTTAGTTACATTAACTGTTGCTAATTTTACTGTTGCTAATTGAAATTAATAAATAACGAAGCAAAAGCCAATCACGTTCGTCTGTTTTCGCGAGTATTGGAAGTGGTGTCACTGTTTGGTCCGTGACCACGATAATTTTGGCAGTTTCGTTTTGCATTGATAGGTTTCTATCTAAGAAGCATGTGATTCGTGTATGATTTTCGGGCCGCTCACCTATCCGTGCGATAATCGTCGGTGTTGGTTAATTCTGTATTTTTTATTTTCCGCAGATTTGTTGAAGGAAATTAGAGTTAAGGATCAACTTAAAATGACGTTGAATTTACTAAGATGTCCCCTCGTTAGTCGTGGATTAAGGGAAGTTGAGAAATCGTCTGGATTTTTTACGTTACGGCTGTCATTGAGCACATCACCGGTTTCCAAAGGCAGTAGTAAGGTAGAAATATTCTAGTATAGATTGTCTGTTATCAATTGAGAAAGCCGATGATAACTTGGGAAAGTTATATCGATGATATTCTATTCGTTCGTTATTGTCTTTACCTTTAAACTTTGCTTTTTTATTCACAATTTTTAAGGCGATCCACAGGCCGGTTTTACATAATCGTTCAGGGATCCGATCTTAAAATAGTTTTCGAAAGATTTCCACAAAAATCATGTGTGTCATTTACGAATAATTTTATCTGTTTCGTTCAAAATGTCATTCTATGGTCCTCAATAACAATTGAATGGATTTGACGTTGAATTGTTAATCAACTGTATAAAAGAAATAATATGGAAAGTACTTTCTAAATGGAATTAGAAATTACTGAAACAAAACTTTAACAAATGATACAATGGTATGCATAACTTTTTTATATTTCTTATAAACATTCAATGACATTACCTTTTTCTGTTGAACGATCAACGCGTTCCGAGATTTTCGTCGCTTGCACGAAGGTTAGAATACGTGATCATAAACGTAAGAAAAAAGTATTTTGTGATTCTATTTTTCGTGATAGTGGAATATAATTTGTGTACCTCTACATAAATTATTTCATTCAACTTTCGTTTGGAAGTATGAAACATTCTAATCGCTTAAACAGTTGTTTGTGTATGTGCATGTATATATATACACCTTGTATACATGTTATCATGACTAACTGGCTTCATTTGACTGACCTTCAATTTCCCCTTTCCAGACTAGTTTAATATCCGTTGTCAGATTGTACTTACTCGCTTGTGTTATATAATTTATCCTTTCGCTATGGTGCATAAATATATATATATATATATTATTCAAATATTTTTTTCATTAATGCAATTTCTTTGATCTTAATTGGATTTATGTTTGAAAATTGCAGGGTGACAGTAAAGGATATCGTATTGAGAAAGACACTTTCGGTGAGCTCAAGGTACCATGTGACAAATACTATGGAGCACAGACTTTGAGATCAGTCATGAATTTTCCTATTGGTGATACGTTTGAACGAATGCCTGTAAGAAAATACAATAAGTTAGTTGTGTCCTGTGTCATAAATAAAATTTTATTTGTTGAATTACATTTTTTAGTATGGTGTTATTGTGGCAATGGGCATATTAAAAAAAGCAGCAGCTGAAGTAAACAAAGAATTTGGTATGGATGCAAAAATAGCAGAAGCTATTAGCAAAGCTGCAGACGATGTCATTAGTGGCAAGCTGTATAATGATCATTTCCCATTAGTAATTTGGCAAACAGGTTCCGGTACACAATCCAATATGAATACCAATGAGGTATCTATTAATATGTTCAACTTCAAAATTTGTACAAAGAACATTTCTAAGTAATTTATTATCTTCTTTCAGGTAATCTCGAATCGTGCTATTGAATTACTTGGTGGTGAGCTGGGATCAAAAACACCTGTTCATCCAAATGATCATGTAAATAAATCTCAAAGTAGCAATGACACCTTTCCCACTGCTATGCACATAGCAGTTGCATTAGAGATTGACAAGGTACTTCTCCCTGGACTGCAATGTTTATGCAAAGTTTTACATGAAAAAGCTGAAGAATGGAAAGATATTATAAAGATTGGTAGAACTCATACGCAGGATGCAGTACCTCTGACATTAGGACAAGAATTTTCAGGTATTTACTAACATCAGCAAATTAAATGACAAAATTATAATATAACGTGTTTATAAAATTCAGGATATGCAACACAAGTGGCAAACGGTATTGCAAGGGTAAAAAATACTCTTCCACGTTTGTATGAATTGGCACTTGGTGGTACTGCCGTAGGTACTGGGTTGAATACACCAAAAGGTTTTGCAGAAAAAGCAGCAGCAAAAATTGCACAACTCACTGGTTTACCATTTGTGACTGCTCCTAATAAGTTTGAAGCTTTAGCAGCACACGATGCTATGGTGGAAGTGTCTGGTGCACTTAACACAGTAGCAGTTTCAATTATGAAGGTATATTTTAATATATATTATAATTAAGTAATATAAATTTGAAACTTGACTTTTTACAGATAGCCAATGATATCCGGTTTTTGGGGAGTGGACCACGTTGTGGTTTAGGAGAACTGTCTCTGCCCGAAAATGAACCAGGAAGTTCAATTATGCCTGGTAAAGTAAATCCGACACAGTGTGAAGCAATTACGATGGTGTGTTGTCAAGTTATGGGTAATCATTTTGCGACAACAATTGCTGGAAGCAACGGTCACTTCGAACTTAATGTTTTTAAGCCAGTTATAGTTGCAAACACATTAAGATCTGCAAGACTTCTGGGTGATGCATGCGCTACGTTCACAAAGAACTGCGTCGTCGGCATCAAACCAAACGCTGACAAGATCGAGAAACTTCTCAACGAGAGCTTGATGCTTGTCACAGCATTAAATCCACATATCGGTTACGATAAGGTAATTCACTTCGGTTTTGTAAAGTTTCGTAGTATAATTAATTTGTTACAATTTTGTCACGTATAATGAAACGTATGTTCCTCTTTAGGCTGCTGCAATTGCTAAACAAGCCCACAAAGAAAATCTGACATTAAAAGAATCGGCATTGAAGAATGGTGTGACCGAACAACAGTTTAAGGACTGGGTGAAACCTGAAAACATGATTGGTCCAAAATAAATGATGTAATGCGAAGTATTAGAATTCAATTTTTAAATTAAGTTTATTAAATTTATCATTGTACATTTGACTTGTCTTTCATAAAAGTTCACTATATGGTGTGGCAAATGGTAATAACTTATTCAAATGTAATAGCTTCTACAAATTTTACAAATTAAAAATATAAAAAATCTCTAAAAATTAATACTCCCTAAGTTCTTATTTATTTTTAAAGCATTCTTACATCCGTGAATATCTTTATTGTTGTGGTATCGTTTGTAGACCACAAATTTCTTACGTTATCTGCGTTGCAACATTCAGGGTTATAGGTCAATGAGTAGTAGCAGCATTTTTGATCATAAATTGAAATAAGAGAGGCGAAACCAATATGTTAACTAAAATACAAAACGTGGCTCTTAGATTTAGTGTTCGTTATTACGGCAAAATTGGAATAATCGGTGTACCGTTTGAAAAAGGACAGGTAATACAGTGTGAAATTATTTTTACAATGTGTGTTTGCTTATTAAATTAATTATACAGCGCAAGAAAGGTGTAGCGGACGGTCCTCAAGCGATTAGAGCAGCCGGATTGGTACAAGAGTTACAATTTCTAGGTAACCATTCGATTCGCTCGTGACAACTTATAGTTCCATCAACGTCAATTAAATTCTATTATTTAAAATATAAAATGAAATTAGGTTTAGACGTGAAAGATTATGGCAACGTTTTATACGAAACGAAAGATGTGCTAGGTGTGAATAATATGTCGCATTTGGGCGATGTTGCTGGTTGCACTAATTGTCTATCTGAAGAAGTACAAAAAGTTTTGAGAGATGGTCGCCAAGTGTTAACAATTGGAGGTGATCACAGTGTGGGAATTGGGACTATAGATGGTCATGTGAAGGTACAGTATGAAGGGCATCATCTTTTAAGATTAGAAATTAACATTTATTATGTGTTCAAAGGTGAAGAAAGATGTAGGTGTAATATGGGTCGATGCTCACGCCGATCTCAATACCAATAAAACCAGTGAAAGTGGAAATGTTCATGGAATGCCCGTAGCATTATTAACTTCTGAATTATCAGATTATTGGCCACATCTTCCAGGCATGGATTGGCAACAACCAATGTAATTTTTCTAAGTATTCGCATCTTTAACACTTTATCTACTGGAATTTGTTGATTTATGAACAAAATTACAATTGTTAATTTGAAAAATACAATAATGTTTCAGGCTGTCTATACGAAATGTAGCTTACATTGGATTGAGGTCTGTAGATCGCTATGAAAGATTAGTTATTGAAAAATTCGGAATTACTGCTTTCGGCATGGAAGATGTTGAACGATACGGTAATATCTGAAACTTGATGTGCATGTACGTAATGAGTATTAACTGATTTACATTTCCTGTTTAGGAATTCATGATGTTGTTAATATGGCAATAAAAAAGATAGATCCGAATGATTCAAAGTCATTACATGTTAGTTTTGATATTGACTCTCTTGATCCTTTGGAAGCACCAAGTACAGGAACACTTGGTAAATGAAATTCTCTCTTTTATTAATATCTAAGGACATTTAATGGTGATTTTATAATTTTAGTGCGTGGAGGATTGACCCTCAGGGAAGCTGTCCATCTAATGGAAGAATTGTATAGGACTCGCAGATTGAATGCAGTAGATCTCGTAGAAGTAAATCCTCAAATTGGTAATTCGCGTGATGTAAACCTCACCGTCGAAGCTGCTCTACATGTTATACAAGCCAGTTTTGGCTATACTAGGAGAGGCCTCAAGGTTCCAGAGGGAATTACCGATATGCCTTTACAAACATTTAGATAATAATTTAGTTACCTTTATTCATATTGTATTCATAAGTTCTAAATATAATTACTCTACCATGTTTTCTCTGGATTTTAACTTGTACACAATCAAGCTTTTGTATACTTTTAAACAGTACCACAAAAACATAACACAGAAACAAAAAGTAACAATGTACTTCATTGTTTTAACTCTTTGTTCTCATAAAGCGTAAGAAGCTTGTCAGAAAATTGAATTTCTAACTTTGACATTATAGTTTCGAACTTCTTATCTATTAAATATATGCCATTTACTTTGCCCTTAGTATTAGATCCAGTCACAGGAAATGAAAATTTTCTAATGCTTTCCTCCTCAAGATCAGAAAATGTCATATGTCCATGTTTTATTGGCTCTCCTAAGTGTTGCATAACTTTTTCATTACTACGAAGAACTTCGTCTATCCTTTTAAAAATCTTTGTCCTTCGGAGTCGCCGTTGATATACCTCTGTTAACAGGTACTTGGTACCTGCAACGAAGATAGCTCCAATAACTGCTTTCTTGGTTAACGATCGAAGTGTAGGCTTTTTTTCATTCATCTGTGTAATTTAATTGTGATTAGTTAGTAAAGGTTAATTGTCACAAATGTAAATATAATATTATGTGGAATCTATAGGTTAGCTTTTGCGTAGGAAAAGAACATGTACATTTTTGGGATTATTATATTTGTTAAAGGAAAATTATGATAATTGAACACATTAAGTGCATACCTTTTCTTCCAGTATTTATATTACAATCAATTTATAAAACAATGATTTTCTGATTATTTTCACCTGTTTGTTTGTTACCCTAGTCACACTGATGCCAGTGCAACCACTAAATTTAGAGGTTTTCTAAGATTCATCTATAATTACATGTACTCGTGCAACACGAGCAAACACTATAAATAAGATCGGGTTTTTATTATAGAATAATGTTCAGAAGTAAAATATAATACACCTGTGGTAATAATAATATGTGTCGATCCATGTGACCCGGTTATGTCAGTAGTCAGCACATATGTATGTATGTATACATATGTAGAATTTTCAAAAAACATAAGAACCTACTTTAGTTTTTTGCTTTATTTTTTAATATAAAAAGGTCTTTGGAAAAACTTGCATCGTAGTTAGAAAAGAAAGATTTCACTCTTCAAAATGAGTCTAGATAAACTATTGCACAAATTATGTTACTAAAGTTACAGAAGTTCAAAATGTAATTGTTTCGATCATCGTACAAGCTAATGCCCCTAAAACAGACTACCTGGGAAACTTGGCTGCTCGTATTAGGGATAGGGAAAATATGTGAGACTAACTTTATATACTATCAAGGGGTATACGATTGATTCTCAATGTTTTTTTTATCAACCATGTTCATTTGAATGGAATAATATGCTTTTTTAGGCATCATGTAGTAGAACATACGTACAATAGAAACTCTCTTATCCGAACATTTATTTTTACAATATTTTGATATCGAAACGTTCTATTATCTAATCATTGTATTACTTACGTACGTTATCGCCTAGTAAAGAGCCTGAATGAAATATTTAGAAATCACATTGTTTTGGTATCAGTGTATTACAAAAATAAATTTTCGAATAAGAGAATCTCTACTGTACGGGATCTTTTGTGATACGGGATTATAGTCGAGATCGTCGAAGATTTACTTCGAGGAAAAGATAATGTAATTGACTGTAGAACAAAAATTGTATTGAATACGGATAAGGAGTATTCTTTTGAATGGTAAGATTGTCCGATTTATTTCTTTATTTCAACAAACACAGTATTTCTACTATATGCACAATGCATCGGGACAACTGTGTCGCTGCATACGAGAGAACGTTTAATGCCAGCATTGCGCACAGTCGTTTAACAGTTTTGTCAAGTAAAGTACACATCTGTGAAGGTATGATTCGATTAACGGGATGCAATGTATTTTTGCGCGTCAATGTTATTAATTAGTGTAACTTTTGATAGATACGGGTGTTACAACGATACGCACTAAATCCGTAAGCTTATTAATGCTTCTTTCTCTCTTTCTCTTTTTCTCTCCTCGGCCGAGAGCGATCTACATATTATTTGGTATGTTTCTCTAGATAAATATATAAGTATTCTCGGTGATATAGTAAACTTTGCTCACACATACTTCGATAAAATCTTTATGTACAAAAAATTACAAAAAACCGAATCGTCGCGAGAAATCCATGATGACGTATATAAAAATGAAGAATCGCATTTTATAATTCATGTATACGACAAGAGGTATTCCGTAGAGCGCAATACATAGATTATCGGAACTGTACCTTATGTAAAATCAATATACACATTATAATATATAAAGTAAGACTAGATACGAGTGTCACGGGACCCTACCTACGATCTACAATCAATAGAGAGAGTGTAATTCGAGACACAACTCAGAAGCGAAAAATCACCTGCCTTAACGCAAGTATATGCGGCACAACAACGGCTGAAGCGTACTGGCAAGAAGAAGAGAGCAAATTTGTATTTTTCAATATCTTAATATCTTTCTTCCTGGTGTTCCATCGACCTTCCCGTGAGACTTGCGATATTCTCACTAAGTGGGACAGAGAACTGAAAAAAGGAGGATTATAACATTTATTCCTAACTTAGTTAGATAATTGCGGATTTAAAATTTTATTATACCTTTGAGAATATAATCCGTTAATAAAGTAGGTACGGTTGGACTATCTTCGTTAATTGCTTTTAGTACTGCAACAGACGTTACATTAATCGCGTCTTCTCAAGAAATTATGTGTCAAATTAATGAACAAAAATTTATTTACCGACAAATACTTACTTTTTATCAGAACTTGTAACGCTTGGTTGTCTGGAGGACCACTATCCGTATGGTACGGGATTACAGTCGTTAAATACTAAAAGAAGGATCGGGCGTTATCGCATTTTCATTAAAAGGATGTTTCATCGATGAGGATGTGTGAATTGGCATCATTACCTTAGACTCTTGAAAGGATCTGTGTTGCGGCAACGGACTAGTACCATTTTGCATTTGATTTCTCTTCTTTGTCACATGGTGCTGTCTACGTCGGTTTTGTACGGCGAGTAGCAACGAGATGAACTGATTCTTTAGTTCCTTCTCGTATTCTAATTCGTCCCTCAGCGCAAGTTCCGCGATCAGCGTTTCGCTGAGGGCTCCCACCAGCGACTCCATCTCGCCGAGGAGCTCGGTCAGTTGACTGGAGCTCAGTTGTTTTAACTCTAAAACAAACACATCGCGATTCTTATTAGCAGGCGCCATAGTCAGGGCTTGTTTATTGTTTCAGATCGGTCTCGATGGAAATATGTATACTTTTCTCGTGTAGCGGCGAGCCGAGAACTTCTCTGCTCCGTTCCAGGGCTTCGTCGCTGTCCAATAACGAACCATCCGAGTCCGGCGATCGCTCCATCGATGGACTCTCCTACAAAATGAAACATCATCAATCTTTGGACCACGGGCAAACGAAGAAATGATGCACAGTGGTCGAAAGACCAGCATATGCATTTCCGCGGAGACAAATTAACTTGCCTGCATTATGTCGTCTATCTCGCGAAGTACCTCTTCCGCAGTCTTGAGTTGTTCCTCGGGGCTGTGCGTGTCGATGCTGCTGGACAAGATCAAAGCATGCATGTCCAAATCAGTCGCAACCGCCTCGTCTTCGCTACTTAAATCTTCTAGTTCTTGTCTAAAGCAAACAAAAGGAAAGCGACCGATTGACAAACATTAATCGCGTCTAGGCACCATGTATACCTTTGGTATACATTCGATTTTCGCGTGCTTCGTATGAAACATGAAAGCGGCAAAAGGATGACAATGAAAGAAAGAAACGTTGACAAAGAGAAGAGCTTACCTGTCGTTCGATAGTGGGGCCTCGTTTAGATTCAACGCGGGCATATGCATTTTCCTCGCGTACGATTTGCTCCAGTCGATCGGTAGTATGTTTCCGAAGGTGCCGGTTATCGTCCACCACATTCTGCAAGATCGTACAGTCTCTTAACATCACGAACAACGAGCAAATTAACGATATGAGTAGATAGTATTGTGCGGAATATTTTTAATTAAATTATGAATTATTACTATTGGGACCTAATAATTATTTTACGTAAGGATTGTACACGTTTCGGTGCAATTAAAATTTCGAACGAGATAGTGCTCGATTCCCTAATTATCGTAAAATCCCGGCCCTCGCACGAACGATTCTTTCTCCCCCGAGGATGCGCACTTGATCGGGCGTTGTTATTAGTTATGCAGATCCATCACGCTCTAGCTGACTCATATCCTCTCTCTCGCTAAATTTTCCTCCGACGTTTTCAAACCACGAATCGAATCGACCGAGCGTACACTCGCGCCGGAACGGACAGTTTCGCAGAATTCGCCGGCTGAAACATTTCGATTTTTTATTTCTACGGTGGACACGCCGCCCGAAATAAACCGCGAGTCCTGCGATAATTGAAAGCGGTCGCTCGCGACGAGTTCAGGCGTTCTTCAACGCGTTCTCGAGGTCGAGCGGTGGGTCCCATTGGTACCCGACAGTGCGCGGTATACATAGAGCTTGCGCCGATAGACGAAAGATTCGTCTCATTCGATACAACAGTGAATATAGCTCGAACTATCAGCGCAGGACGAAGATTGTGCTGGCAGATTTTCGCGTGGGTCGTTCGATAAGAGAGATTAGAATTTTGATTCGGGAGGGAAACGGAAGATTCCCGAGCGAGTTAAATTGCTGCGAGTAGATAAGATCCCGCGTGACGGCGACAGACGTTCTGCTAAGTGTTCGTTTTCTGGGATAGCGTGTGAATCACTCTTCTCGTAGGCGTTTCCTGAACATGTGTACGTATAGGAGCGTAAGGTCGTGTGCAGGCGCGCGGGAAGAGTCGCACACTTCGATCCGTCCACGAACCGGAGAGCAACGTGGCCCGATAACAATAGGCGGGCCGTTCTAAGGAAATGAACGTGTTCGTACGAATCGACGTTACGCCGGTGCCCGTGAACGACTCTCGATCAATGGCCCTTTCTCGTGCCACCGATTTGTAAACAATTCCAATTGCATAACGCGCGTAATCGCACCGGCAACACGCTATTCCGCAGCGCACTGCGTCGGTATTTTTAGAGCCGATTCAATCGAGCAGTTTTTCGCCTGTGCGCTAAACAGTCGCTGGGAACGTTTCCTTCTAGCCGGCAAATTGTTCGCGATTTGACACAGTTCCGAGGCGCATTCCTAAGCACGGTGCACGCTGTCGTGCGAAAATATCGAGCATTATGCTATTCGAACTTCTACAGTAGCCGCTTATTTTTATTAACGGAAGAAACATGTGTAATCAACGATTTTCCGACTCGGTAGAGACCAGAGCACCCTGAACCGTCTTCAAGGAGAAATCTTGAGGTTTCCGAGTAGTCGTGTCGCAGGCCCGGTCCGTTCGCGATGAACGAACGACTCAAAAACGTGCAAAGATCTTTGCATCGATTTTCTCCGCGTTTGCTCGTCGAGTTTTCGCTTTCGACGAGCGCAAGAGCAACGTCCTCGTCGCGCAATTCGTCGCTCAGCTCGCAGACGCGTGCACCCTCTCTTAATCAAGTTTAATGAACGACGACCCCGTGATGTTCTCATCGCGCGAGCCCTCGAATTCTTTCCGCCAACGATCCCCGTTGATTAAACCGATGGTTCGTTTCCTTTTGGCCCGCGGCGGACGCTGGCGTAGCCAACCGCGGAAATAAAAGCGACGCGAAGTTTTTGCACGCGCGGCAGAGCGACAATACCTACAGTACCTAGGCCGGTCCCGGTCGATGGTGTCGGATTAACAAATGGAGGTCAATTCGACCCACTTGAGTTTCTCATTAATGTTAAGTGCATTAAAGCAGTGACTTCATCCCAGCCGCGGTGGCATGCCACGGTTGCATCGGGCATCGGGCATCAGGCATCGAAACGCGAACAGCTAAACATCACGGCCGGTCACCGGTTGCGGCCGGGAGAGAATCATCGTCGCCTCCGTAACGTCTCGAATCGATACGCTCCAAAGATAGAAGACGTATAAATAAAAAAGCACGCCTATGTTTACGCAAACGTTACCCGGATACAATTATACGTCGATAAGCAGGATTTTTTCGCGCGTTTGGTAATTCCGTTGATGCACCGATACGGCGATGCCGGAATGAAACGGAGCAATTAGCGCGCACGCCGGATGGACGCGAACGAATCGTACGATATCGCAGGGGAAACGTAGAAATATCTGAGATTTCCGAAATCCTTACGCCACTCTGATTATGTACTTCGATATATGTATTCCGAAAAGTTTCCCGGTGTCGGTGGACATAGAAACCGAACCGCTTCAACGATATCGATGTCGCTGCACATCGAGGGACCGATGCGAAACAATTCGCTGCAACCGTAGCTAAATATATATTCAGAGGCTTTCGAGGAGCGGTGCAGTTTTATTATCCCCTATCGTATTCTAGCAATCAGTTCGACCAGAAACCAGAGCCGGGTTTCGCAAAACGTTCGTTTAATTGATTCGGTGGCCGCGCGCCATTGTTTCGGCCCGCGCTTGTCCTCGAGCGATCGGAATCTGCGAAAAGCGCGGGGAAATTCGATTCCGGGGAAAGAGTATCCGCTGATTAATTCATCGTCCGGTTCAATGATCCGCGACCGTGCCTCGTACGTTGTTCCGTTGCGTAACGGCGACACACAGCATGTAAGGGGAAAACAATATCCTCGTAAAAATCTGTCGTTGTGCAACTGTTGCGGGAGGAAGAAGAGAAGTAGGAGGAGGATCGTGCAGGAACCGCTTCGTCCTGGCGAGTCCAAGGCATTCTACGAGCGTGGACGGCAGGATGGACGTGAGATCTGTTGAATAGAAGCAAAGAGTGAGTTAATGGCGCAACGAGAAGCGCGGTATAATTGATGCGGTCGTTGCGCGATGGAAAAATCGCTTCTGGGAAACGCGATATCGGCCGGCCTTTAGGAACGAAGGGAAACGGGGAGAAAAGTAAAACGTTTGCCCGAGGAAACGGGACACAAAAACGCGATAGCCCGAGGAGAATCGTGACGGTGGCTAGGCCGTGTGCGGCGCGTGCGCGGCTTTATTGACGTTTGTCCATCCGGAGAGGGTGGCTCGATACGAACGACGGAACAAAACACAGAGATCAAATTTTCATGCCCCTTCGCCGATTCGATCACGCACGATTTCTTTGCCAGGACTGGCTAGCCGGGATCGGGCGCGATCGATCGTTCCGGGGGCCGATTTTATTCTATCCCGAGCTCTCCGCGCTCCGCGAGATCGTTTCGCTGCCGCGCCGCTCCTCCACGTCCCGATTGTTCATCTCGCTGCGCTGCGATTAATCCGCACGAGCAGCGTGCCGCGATTCCACGCTGCGATTGTTGAGCCCGCACCGTGGTTACAGCCCGTGGAGATGGAATCAAGTTCAACGCGAACTTCGAAATTCATTTCCGATCGGAGCAAGTGCTCGCGAATGGCTCGATTCTACATAATGCTCTTTTCTTTCCCGACGAACTTGTTCCGAACTATCCGGTCAGGTTCGAACCTACTTACGATACGCTTTATCCTAGCTCTAGCTATAGACGGTTGATACACCCCTGCGGTCCGCCGCCGGGCTGGCGGCTAGACGCGCTCGGGTTCATGGCTTCGGGTTAAAGGGACTAGAATCCGATTCGCGGAAACCGCGATTCGATCCGCGACCTATCGCCCACCGTGTATCATCGTAGCTGTTCGCTGTCTTTCTGTTCCAACGCGACCCGCAACGCTCCGCAAAGTATCGGAAGGCAAATGCTACGGGTCGCGCGTGTATTAACGTACGGATATTTTAGTTGACGTAGTTTTTTCATACTAGGTCGCAACCTAAGTCCTTTGCGGTTTCCCAGCGCCGGACGCTTTACGTGAGAGAATTTACGTGGAAAACATTCTCTAGCCAATTGTGCAATTTCCATGTTCAAACTACAATGGCCGAAGTAATGAAAAAGGTTCACCCTACTTTCGCGTCCACGGCAGAATCTCTAACGCAACGATTCCGATGTACATAATCCGCCGTAATTGGTTCGCCTTCGAACGAGATCTCAAAGGCGACGATGATCTCGTCTCGGCACCTGCGTTTCTCCGCGTCGTAACGTTAATACGCGGCTTCGGAGACGACCGAATCTGGATGGAAAGCAACACCGCCGTCGCGCTGATTAGCTCAGAACGAACGTGCTCGGCGCAGGCTGTAACGTTCTCTGAATCGAATCTCGGGTAACGAGCGGTGCCACGGGTTTCGAGGCGCGGCCACACGACGATCACCCTGGCGACAGAAGAGTCGCGTGCGCGTGCATGCACGGCCCCGAATGGGCTTCGGCCCGAGAGAAAAAGGGGCGACGAAAAGGAAGGAAAAGAAGGAGAGGAGGCGGAGGAGACAGAAAAGAGGGGAAGCTGGGCGCCGCGGGGCGAGAAAGTCTTTCGGATCGCGGGAGTGAAAAGAGAGCCGCCGGAGAGCTACTGTGTTTCGTAGGGAGAGGAGAGGAGAGGAGAGGAGAGCAGAGCGAGAAGAGCCGAACCGGGCTAGGCCAGCGTCGAGGAACGCCGAATACGGCCTCGTTTGACCCCGAGATTTCATTCGTCGAAAAGCCGACGCCGATCCGCCGTGAAAGAGGCTCTACGGCTCGCGACAAATTGGATTACGAACGGCTCTCCTATTCTTTCGGGAGCCGTGTGCGCGCACGGATCCGCACGCGTGTACGAAAACGCCGGAGCGATACCGAGAGCGAGGCACGTGCAACAGCACGTGTCGTTTCCGCGAACGTCGGACGCTGACCTCCCGACTTCTCGCGGCGGGGCCTCGCTCTCTTTCGGCGCGGACCTCGATCTCATGCCAAAGATCAAACCGCCGCCGCGAACGTTACGCAACCGTTGGATCCTGACGCGAGCGGATCCTTGGCAGGTTGCGAAAATACGTGGCAACGGTCGGCGCCGTGCCACGCTCGATTTTTACGACACCGTAAGCTGCAAGACCCCGGGCGGATGCGAATATTGCTCCACGGGTCCCGCGCTCTCTTCATCTTGCGAAACAACGGCTTCTTTTTTTTTCTCGGGTTCGCGTCGCGCGATTCGGAAACGCGGCACGCAGATTTTATGTGCATTGTCCCGAAGGGGCGGAGCGCTTCGAGCAAAGGCACCGTCCGTTTTCTCCGTGTAGAACGCCCCGGGTGCACTTTCCTCTCGATTTCGGCGAAGTCACGGCAGAGTCCCGCGGGGCAGCTTGCCGTTTGCGAGCGTCTAAGATTACCCTGGACCAACGCCTCGTGGCGGAGGAAAAAGCCGAGAACCGTTTGTCTTGTTTTCTCTTTGTACAACGTTCTAAGTGGGCGTGGCCTCGTTGCTCTCCATCTCAGCGGAGCCCCGGGCTGGTGTCCCAGAGGGCAACCTGTGTCCGCGGCTAGCTCGCGCCCGTTAAAAATCGAACGCCGAAGATCTCGGCAACTCTCCCCGAATTTTTCTCCGTTGATTAGAACAGTCCTGTGCGCGGAACGCCCTAAGCAGGGGCGTGGCCTCGATCCTCGCGAGCTCGTCGCTCGATGCAATCCGTGCCCGTTAAATCTCCGGGGACCTCGCGTGACCGTTTAAAGTTTAAGCAATGCCTCGCCGAGTCGAAAATCGCTGAGATCGCATTTCGTCGGTGGAAAAGTCGCTGAAATTGTCGCTTCTGCATGTGGGATAGCGAGCCGGGTTCGCGGCGAGACCCGAAGCACTACCGGTGCTGCGCGCCACGGCAAGAAAATATTCTTGGAACAATGGCTTTTTAAATCGGCCGTTTCCTTGTTTTATTTTGCGCAAGCCTGTGCAGCCAATTGGCTGGATTAAAGGCCAGACGGATTTTGCGGGAGTGCGTGGCTTCAAAGGAATTATGCACGGCGGTGGACAATGAAGTTCAAACGAGTTTAAGAGCCCCGCCGAGTTATACTCTACGCCGAAGAACATACAATTATGCGGTTCGCTGGGCTTCACCTGCGCCGTTCGGAGGAGCAATTCGTCCGGACACCTGCGACGACGATCACAATGGACACCGTTCGTTCCTCCGCAAACATTTGCCCGGTCCCTTCGACCCAGGGCCACGAGAATTTCGACTTCCCGCCACGGTCGAGCGATCGTCCACCTGCGACCGTTCCGGATTTCTCGGGCGGAACCGTCTGCCGTTTCCTCGCGAGTACTCCTCGGGAATACACCTTGCTCGCCGACTCGCGAAGCACCATTGTGTCCGTCCGGCTGATCGTTCTCGAATAATCGCCGTTACAATGGCCATTATTTCGAGCGATCCGGAACATCGGGTTCCATTGAAAAACGAGGCGCATTCGGAGCGAGTCGACGATTTAATTAGCGGACAGTTCTCTCTTGTTTTGGCGCGTTGTCCACGCCGCGGAGAGAAAGCTGCAGCACGCGGCGCAAACGTCATGTAGAGAGTACTCATGGCGGCACACTTTTCAGTCGGAAAATCGATACCGTGATCCCGAGGATCCGGCTCTGCGGCCACCGCATCGTCCCCTAGCACCCCAACGAATCGTCCAACGATTCCCAATAAAATGGGGTGCCGTATGCATGTACGAGCGCGGATATGCGCTGCGGGGGCTACCGTGTTTTGCTTTCGCTCCGGCCGCCAAGAAAAGGAGAAAACTGTGCCACTCGCTCGGCTCACGTGATATTTTCAGCAGTGATTTCGATTCGACGCGGCGGGGAACAACAGCTAGACCAGAGAATTGTAGAAAACTTTCCAAGGATGACTCGATCGTTTACGGCTCGACGGTGCAAGTACGTTGCGATTCGTTTTCAAAACCGATCCGAACCGCGAGGACACGACGAATTGCAAATGATTCTACGAACGGTCCTCTACGCTCCGAAGATCCCTTTCGCGGCGTGATGGGAGGCCGCTTTGAAACAAGTTGCACGGGTGCGTCCATAAATGAACGCTGGTTGTGTTCCCATACCTCCCATCCACGTGCCCGCCACGCGCAATTCGAGCGCGTGCATCGAGCCAATAAGCTTTAATAACAGCGGCCGAGTTATCGTTCCGCGATATTGGTCGGACCGGTGCATCCAGTGAAACTGCTCCGCGCGCGCGCGTCCTAACAAGTCGCCGAAGAAAGCGTTAACACGACTATTACCCGAACAGGATATATTATGTGGTAAACAGCCGGCTGGTTGCCGGCGAAAGGCGTAATCTCACGCGAGTTTTTGCGTGTTTTTATAGGGAACGATAAATCCGGCGTGTGATCGTAAAAGCGGCACGCATCCAGACGCAGCGGAACGGCACGCCTGCATACCCTGAATTATGTCATTGGAGCATCCGTAGCGATTGGTAATTACCATTCTCTATCGCGCGCGCGAATAATATAACGGCGATCTTCCATAAACGATTGCTTCCGCTCTCGTCAGGTTGCTTCGCCGCCTATCATTTCGCCGCGGCGATCCACCGTAATGGATATCTCAAGGTGAACCGTGACAATTTCAACGCGATAAACGGGTGTAACGATCGCCTATTTGTTTGCGAGTGCCGACGACGATGACGCGCGTTTATGCATCATTTTTGAACCGTGAACCGGTATAACTGTACCCGGGGAATCGCGTGACCCAAGGATCACGGACAACATCTCGGTCGTGCGCACGCATCGACGTAATTATCGCTCGTGCATTCCTCCTTTTTTTCCCCCGTCGTTTTCCCCCTTTGGCCCTGTCGAGACTTACGGGACACCGATTGCCCAAGGTAACTTTCGCGGAACCTGATGGCACATTCGCTGCCAGCTACACCTGTTTGTCCGCAGTCTCGCGTCTACGCAAGTTCGAACGTAACACGCTGCCAATCCTCGTGTAACGCGGTAGTGTAACCGCTGTAACTGACTTGCGGTTTTTTCTATGCGAAATTAAAGCATTCCTCGGGCGAAGTCAAATCAGGCCGTTTGAATGTTATTAACACGCAAGTGAAAATTCTGCTTTGCGATTTAAAGATCCGAGCTTCTGTCAGGTAACACAAGAGCACGAATAAAACGAATAATAAAACAAACGGTTAAAATGACCGGTGACGAAGAATTGCCCGAAAGATGAGTAAATCCATCTTTTCACGACTTTAAAAAAAAATGATGTATGTTCAGAAATTGTGTTTCGTACAGCAAGTCGATTTCTATCATTGTTCGAGGGCCACTTGTACGTCCAAGGGTGACAATGCTCGGAGCTTGAATGCGTCAAACCGGAGATAAGAAATGATTTCGACGAAGGCGCGTCAATCGACTGATTACTCGCTATTGATATAAAGCGAATCACGTGGGCCAGGCGTGTCCTCGGTCTGTTTCGTGCGTTCCTTAAACCCAGTAAGCAGGTCTAGAGTCCTAGAGAGAGGAACTTACTGGCACTCGTTCATGATCTCCTCCTGTGTCCGCACTTGGACAGGTGCTAGAGACTCGACATCCGTGCCGTAATCGCGGAAGCAGGATGTTATCTTCTCGTCGAAGGTATTAACAAGGTCCTCGAGACTGCCGCTAAAGGGGCTGAACGTCCCCTCGTGTAGGGTATCGGTGCCATTTTCATGGGTCGCCGGCGGCTCGTTCGCGTTGCAGTTCTCCCCGTAGTTATCATCCAAACTGGCGTCCAGCAATTGTTCTATGGAGCAGAGAAAGATACAATCAGAACCCCTCAACAATTCGCATCCGGAAAGTTAAACGGTTGAGAGGCCGAGCCTCCGCGTCTTCTTTCTATAGAACACAGAAAGATCTGTCATAGCCGTTGCTATATCTGTCTGTTTGCATTTCGCATTTCGCCTAGCTAGATTTTGCAAACTTAACGCGTCAGCGCAGAATTGAATCTGTAAATTTGGACAAACAACCGCGGGGCTCGCCTCTGAGTCACGCGTTAGTCAACGCGTCGAGCAAACCATCTGTGCATGCGATCGGTATCGCTGCTAAAGCGGACACAACATTCGGACGTCTTTCTCGGAAGCATAAACAATAAATTTTTGATGTACCGTAGGCAGTAACATATTTTTAGTGCCTCGTTGTAACCAGTAGCAAAGAGCTCCACCCTTGTTCTCCGCCGAGAAGAACCAACTAAATTCGAGTGACACACGAGTGGGTACTAGTCACCGTTTCCAGCGTATCCCAGAGTAAACACTAGAGTGAGAGCTCGACGGCGAGAGAAGAGAGGAGAGACGGAACGGCGGAAGATGGGTCACCGTTTGCCGTACATTGTACACAGTGCCGTATCTCATGGAACGCATCGAGCGAGACAGTCCGCGGGGAGATTTCGCGCATTCAACAAGGAGAACGCGGCTAGTATTAATTACATCCGCTGTCGCCGGCTGGGCTCCGTTATCAATTACATAAACTGCGGATCGAACTTTAGCGTGGGCATCGGTTTAGCGTAGCAGATCGTATGTTTTCGACAGGATCGAATGCCCGGCTCCGATCGACTTTTCTATTGATCTTTTTGTTCCACGTATTAGTGTCAACGCGTCGAAGGCTGGCGGCCGCCATTCTGGTTCCGAAGGTCTCACGCCGCTGAGACGTCTTTCGAAAGAAGAGCCAGCAAAGGCTAGAGATACTAGAGACGGCCAACAGTCCACCGCGTGGGCTTCTAATTACGGATGCCGTGTCAAGGATCGTGTCCTGCAGGATCTGCTCGTGTCAAGGGCACGACAAGACTCTACTTTCCGAGCCGCAGATTTTCGCGATCCTGCGACTGTCCGGGGACGCGGATTTCAATGAGATCCACGATGTCGCGAAAAGCGATAGGAATCGGGCACGCTGTCGAAAGAACGTTATCCGAGATGCGGGTTAAGCCTGCTGTACCATTTCAGGAAACGATCGCGTGCGTGACGTAACGTAACTTAACGATCGGTCAACGCCGTGATCGCGCGCTGCTTTAGTGTCCTCAAATTATAGTTCGCAAGTGCATCGGGAACGCCTAAGTCGAGCGGAGACCTCCGTTATTCGAGACCGTCTATTACGGCACGACCTCAGCTGCAAAACAGTATTGTTAATCTCGTGTTTAATACGCGCTATTAAATGAGCGCAGAAAAAGTTCTATCGTAATGGCAAAGTGTGCAGAGGAGGCGCAGCCTCCTATTACCGTCTTATCCGTATCCAGATTTATGTAACAGTCGAAACGTGAAATCACGATTCGCCTGCCTGTCACTATTTTTTATACAAATAGTTATCGAGGATTTGCATAAAGGTCCGCGGTATGATCAGAGATGCAATTTGGAGTTTTGTTGTCACAATGAGAGATCCCAGGATGCCACTGCACGGTCGAACAAGATCTCGCGGCTGCGACGAACGATGAATTCCGTGCGCAAAGATGATCCGATTAATTATGGCTCGTCCGATGGGGATCCGAAGCGGAATGCGGGACGGAGTTCCACTGTTTCCACGAACGAGCGAACGCTTCGCGTTTCTTTGGAGCCGGGGCTCGCTCGGGCGACACGTTAGACGGCAATTGTACGGGTGACGTAGCCTTTTGTCGCGGTCCGAAGGTCACTCCTCTTCATGGTGGCTAAATGCGCCACGCCACCCTCGTCGTTTGATTCTAAGGCCCGGCAAAACGAGCGTGACCGTGCGCGTGCACGCGCGTTTTATACGTTTCACGCGTTCGCCCGGGCCCGCGAAACCTGTTCCAGCTACCGGGGCACAACACGGCTCCTTCGGTTGCGAAATTTCCGTTTACATGTATCTAGTTTATGCGCCAGGCCTCGAGGAAAGCGTGACATCGACGCCTCAACTAGCAGTTTAATCATTACCTATCGATTGCCAATGGTAATTACTCGATTAAGGACCCGAATGCAAATCTCCAACTGTCGTAAATTGTTCTACGCAAATCAGGGGAAATGTTTCTGAACGTGACAGCGCTGTTTTACTTGTTACGTAAAATTCTCATAACCTGAGGGGAAAATTTGTTTTTGTCAGTACAGTACGGATCAAGTAGATGTATAAACTATATAACCTCTTACCGATGAATGTAAGCAAAAAGAATCGCTCTATTTCCTATTACTGATACCCCGTATGGGCTGCTATCCCTTAGACATAGATAATCCTGTACCGAATACATACTGTTAATTAGGAGCTAAAAAAAAGTTAATCGATCAGTTTCTAATTCGATAACAATTCATGAGAAAAGATGACAACCTGACATCTGTGACGCCGTATGTCACACGTATTTACTTTTGTGATCACTTAATGCTTTATTTTCGAATTGCTTTATTTATTTGAGGTTTTCGAGCGATTTGTGGCGTTTCTCCTTATAGCCACAGATATAACCTAGATCTTACCGAATAGTCAAGGATTGACGGAATTATTTTTAAAAACGACGGAAGGAAATAAGTTACGGTGGCGCCATCTTGAATTTTCCGAAATCTTGAGTGTTCCTCAAAAAGAAAAAAACCTCTGTTCCTACTTCTATACAAGTTTTCTTAAATTCCGTAGCAGCTATTCCTTTCTCGATTTTCCATCCTCTTGACGGGAATATGGGTCGCTACAAAAATGCCAAATATTTGCACAAACTCTTCTATGCAAAGTTTCATAGAAATCCGGGTTATTTAAAGGTACTCGTTTCTTTCGAAAATATCACATCAGTCCAGAAGGTTATTCCGAATTTCGTGCCAGCTAGCATTAGAAGCGAAAATATTCTCCGAATCGATTCGAATAACAGCGTAGCGTTGGCTCCCGAAATAAGTTGTATCACCGAGGACACCGAAGAATCGATGTTTATAATTCGCCCGAGCGGAATCCTCGCCGGCTCCGAAATTCTCGTTCGACAGACGGTCCTTGTTGCATCGCGTAAATACACATCTACGACAGCTAGCGTACAACCGTCCTCGAAACGTTTTTATTACTCCGTAAGTAGGATCACCCACTTTCAAAGCGGTTCGAGAGATCGATTACACTCGGAATGGAGAAAGAGATTGAGAGAGAGAGAGAGAGAGAGACTGGGAGAGAGAGAAAGACAGAAAGAAGGATGACTGTCACGCCGGCGACGGCGACTCTCGGTTTTGTGTAATTTTGGCACCGAACGGTTATGGCAGTGACGGCGTCAGAAAACGATTTTCGTATCGAGAACATCGCGATAAACTTTCGATCCGTCGGCCCGGAGGCTACGCGGACCGGAGCGAGAGGAGATGCGCAGCGTGTGCGCCAAGAGTGCCAGCCGAGTATGCGTGTGCAGTGTGCACTGTGCACGCGCGTCACGGGCTACGCGAGTATCTCACGGTTATTCACGCACCTGTCAGCAGATTCATGTTCTTCAGGCTGGCGGTGTCTTCCTCCTCGAAGCGTGCCAGGGGTGCCTCGAACTTCAACTCGGCGATCTTGCCCGCCATGTCCCTCATTATTGACCGTAAGGACGAGAAGGGAGAACACGGTACGAATCCTCGCCGCGACGAAAACTACTCTTGGCGCACCGTACACTCGCGGCAGCGCCTCCGAGGCGCTCCGTTGTCTCCGGCTTTCGGGCCGCTTGACCAGGGGGTGAGAGAGCAAGAAAGGGGCGACAGAAACTCCGAAAAAACTGGCCGGTGAACTGCGCGCAACCCGTCGCATGCGAGGCCTCGCGAACGACTGACGCAGAAGGGGGCTCGTTTGAAAACTGGTGGGGGAAGATGATTGCTGGTCGCTATGGCAACCGCTGGCTGAGCGCGCCGATGCCGCCAAGCGGCCCCAGTGACGTACACCCTACCACCCGTCGCCCGCACGATTTCAAAATATTCAAAAATGAACCTATTCAATAAATAAAGTGGTCTCACTTTGGAGAACAGAAGAAAAATAGCTGACTCGCTATTTTATCGAATGTTTACTTCTACTCGGTCGGATCAATTTCAACACCTGCCCTCGTTCTTTACGCAAAAGTCTTGCATTCAAATCCGATTCTATTACAACGGGTGTAAGATTCAACGGTTCGATCGCAAGAATCTGTATGTACGCTGATAAACTTATCGACAAGCTCGATTTTTTCAGCGACACTGCGGACAAATTAAATTGCGGACAATTGCAGACAAATTAAATAAGATTAAATAAAATTTGAAATAGCAATTTTAACTTTATCATGCGTCGTCAGTTTTCGACTCTGTCGAATTTCAGTGTACCATTGGGTTTATTCTGCCAGATTGAATAAAAATTAAATAATCATCCCCTTTGCTTTAGTTACGTCGTTGCCACATTTACTGTTACTTTTTATACTCGCCAGTATCGTAAATTGATGTTCGCACACATAACCTCTAGACGTACAAAGACGTCTCGGAGTGTTCTTACCAGCACCATACATGCCCACTTGGAATTTATACGACAATTCTTTTCGAAACTCACACGAATGATAAAGTAAAAATTAAATAGTTTCGGGGAACGCGTCGAACTTTATTTCATTCGTATGCCAAAGGTACATTGAATTTCGGTGAAACACTTTTTGCATTACTTCTGGGTTAAGACATTTTATTTCGTTTAATCGATCGATCGATAATATTAGGTTACTTTTACTTACGATCATAGGCATCGATTGCCTATTAAAAATATTAATCGTATTTAATAATGCTAATTTCACCGTATTTACAGAACTATTCCACTATTCACAGAAACTTCGGCGCGTAATATTACTGAATAAAGTAGTACGTACGCTTATATGCGAGACGTTTGAAATTCACGCGCAAAGGCGGGTCGCGCGATCGATAAATCGTTGGTAATCGATATGCGAATTGCCTACCTTATCCCGCCCCCTAGCGGTCACCATTGATCGATAAAACAGCGTGGTTTGAACGAATTCGCCGAATGGACGTCGCGAGGCGCTGCCACACACGCTCGAACTCCAAATTCGAATTGCGATCATTACATACACGAACAAATATAATCGTTATTCTGAGGAAACAATGAAATCTATTATCGTTCTTCAGTTGTGGAAATTCGATGAAGATCGTCACGCTCGTAGAAACCGTATTAATAGTCGCGCGGACTCGTTTGCCATTTTAATTAAATACATTTTGTCCAATTATCTCCGTTTGCTTTTTTCGAGAGACCACGGCATCCATCAACTTCTCCGAAGACTATCGTATAGCAGATATCACCGTGCCACGCCTCGTCCATTATAAAGCGTAAAAAAGTGTCGCGGTTCTCGTACCGACCATGTCGAAGTGTAGCCTTGCCCGGTACTGAAATGTCTACTATATCACGGGACAGTGGAATTCTTCGTCCGAGGCCCGGTTTTTGACATTTTCCAGCCGACCTGCTCTTTCAGCCAGCAACGTTCAGGGAAACACGAAATGCACGACGCCCTCCGAAAATACTTGGCCTCGTTCACGGCCCTCAGAATGTCAAGCTAAACGAGCACGCTTTTTAAACGACAGCACTTTACCTTTTACGGCTTTTACACCCTTTCCTCCAGTTCACGGCGCGTGTTCCATTCATCGCTGTCCTCTCGACAACAAAAACTAAAATTCCTTAGCAGCCAGGCGAGACGAGTCGTCATCTCGTCGAGGCATCCTCGCCGCGAGCATCCTTTCATTATTTTTCGTCGCTATTTTTTACTCGCCAAGAGGCTCTCTGATTATTCATTCGCAATTACCATTATATAAATGCTCGCGGTCGAAGTCAACCAGCAGGTTTTTAGTAATAATAACAACAATTTCACGGATACGCGTATAGCCTACGCCAGGCATCCGTACCGTTAGATTTCCAGCCGGCATAATGCAGCCGGCACTTGAAACAAGATCACACGTATTTGAAGGAAACCGGAGGGGGGGGGAGTGTTTTGCATGCCGTTGATACGCGATGTCGAAAGACAAAGTAACAACGTAAGTCCATAAAGTAGCCGGTAATTTGCACGTTAATGGGTCACGCATAGAACGAGACAAAAAAAAGAACGGCGGCACGGCGAAAATGTAAAAATGCCAGTATAATGGGGAAATTGTGGTTAACCTTGATGATATTGCATACGAATCGCATTGTTAGCACAAGGTAGCAATTAATGAAGGCAACGGATACGCTTTATTTTTTCATTTTTGTTACGCAGGCATGATCTAAATGCGATATCGTCGGATCGATGCCGTTAGAGAGGCGATCCGATAAGAGGAATCCGTCGAGATCCTTCGAGCACGGCCGGGAGGGGGACACGTCCGACGCATAAGGATGAGATTCCGCGGATTATTTCACGGACCCGAGCAATCCGCGAGCCGCCTTATCACGATTATCGGCGGAACGATCGTTTTAAAAGGACTCGTAATCGGGCACGGTTTGCAATTGAAAAAAGAGGTCTGGCATAAAAGATTCATGAGCCGCCGTTATTGGCAGAAAAAATATGGCCGGCTACGTTGGCGGATTTGCGCGTCGCCGCGCCGATCGGGATAAATCAATGTCGCGCTCGTAGATCGCTCGATGACGACCGGAAACGGGGGGAAACGCTTCAACTGAGAATTGAACCCGTTGCGATGCGGCATCGTGTCGGACTCGTTGCGAACAATTTCGAGCCCGAACGTTCGTTTTCTTTTTTTATCGCTTCGTTATCTTAGTTTATTGGTAAACGATGCGGAGAAAAACGTCTGTTTAAGTCGGGATAGAGAACGAAGTTTACAGGAGAAGAAAATCGATGTGACAGAGCTACAAAATTACGCATCGTGCACGATAAAACGGGTATTAATATGCAAGGTTTAGCTTACTAAATATACAATCGATATTCATATTTTTTCTCTTGTAAGGAATTTATCGATGACGAAGAAGCGCTAACGAAGGTTGTGCCGCGAAAGAGATCGCCGGAGTTTAACCGAGACTGCTCAATGACGATCGTTGTTCTAATTGTCCGATTTCGCCACTCGTGTTTTCTTCGTCTACGCGACGAAATCGCGCCGCCTAAACGATGCCTTGCAAACCTCCTTACAACATGGTCGAATTACGCAACCGTGCGATGTTTATATTTTTAACCTTACCTTCGTAACGCTCGGGCGGAATAATAATAATAACAAGAATAATGACATAATAATAATTCTAAAAGAAAAATACGACGCGAAACAGGTAGCGCACCGAAAGCTATCGCGCTCGGAAGGCTCTCCGCAGGTTGATCGATTGTTATCGAAGTCGAAACGCGACCGATGATACGCAGATCGATCATCTCGTCACCGTGATTGGTTTCTGTCGTGCACGAAGCTGCCGTGGATCACGGTTCGATCGTAAATCTCCACGGCGAGGCACGCAAACGACGCCCCGCGTTCCGCGCGGTTGAACCAGAGCGCACCGCGACAGCTGTAATTAAATTTCGTCTGGCATTCGATTACCCGGCGAAAAGAGAGAAAAGCCGTGTCTTGATCGTTTAACGGATGCCCGCGTGAAATCGTCGCCGGCGTCCGGTGTTCCTTGCGAAGCGGGGAGATTTATTGGACGCGCGGAGCGCGGAGTCCGCGCGCTCCGGCACGGTGCTCGGAATCGTTTTCTAATTACACTCTCGCAGTTCGCAGGTAAGTAATTGCTACCGTAACTGCGGCAGTTAGTCGCGGCAAAGGTGTCCGCCGCCGGGTGGTCCACGCGCGGCCGGCGCCGAGTAAGCGATCGCGATAATTTATCTGATCGAGCCACCGGGGCGGGAATGCCAATAAACGATCGACGACGTCGCGCCGGATGGAACGTTGAATTTTTTATGAGGCCGCCGATCAACGATACGCGCAGCTATCGACGCGCGCGCGAACGTGAAACCGTTCACAATTGACACCTAAACGGGGATCCGAGCCCGCGTTCCCCCACCCTCGGGATCACCCTCTAGATCACCCTAGGTCCATCCAGACCCTCGTAGATCCCGGTAGTTTCGAGCCGAGCAATTGAGATTTCCGCGAGAAATTCTAATCACGCTGGCCGGCCAGCGATTTAGAAGTTGAATGCCATCGACGCGGTTGATCCGCCTAGCATTGAATTGGTTAATGTTGTTAGGGTCAACAGAGGGGCAGTGGATGCTGCTGCCGTGCCGCAAGCTCGTAGAAGAGACGAAGGCCTGATTTACCAACGGGCCTCGGATCTCGCTATCTAATCAAATTCAATGGGAAAATAGATTCGGGGTTACCCTTTCCACGGCTCGTCGCCGAAGGGATATTACGTTGCCGGATGGTAATGACCCTACCCTATTGCGCGAACTTTGTCCTCCGTTGTTCGCAGTGCGTAGTTGGCGATAGACCGAAGGGGACGACGCGGCCGCGGTTTCGTTCTTTCGAATCGTCGAAAACCTGTAGAGGGAACAGAGGCCCGGTCGAGATTCGTTGGTTCTCCCAGGTAAGTGGGACGCGGCTATTTCGTCCACCACCGACCGCTTCTCTCGTCGTCACTGTCGCGATATGTCGCGCGCCACGGTCCACAGCCCCATAGGGGATACCGTATACCGTTGGCCTATGATAGCCACATCCGCAGATAAACACATTTCCTCGGGCTTCGTGTAATATTCCGCTCGAGGTCCCCCGGTTCGTCGCGTCAACTCGCGACAACACCGTCCCTCGAACATTGTTGGGAGCCACGCCGGCCCGTACTGGCTCTCTTCCATCGGTGCAACTTTCTTCCTTCGGCGTAACGATAAATCGATTTGTTCGCGTGTTATACGATAATCCGATCACCGGATTTATTGGATCGGCGAGAGACGGACGTGTCCAAAGACGAACGTTTCGCCGACCGGCGAAGATTCTTTGGCCAAAGGAGACCCAGTTTTTCGATCCCGCCGCGTCGACACGATGTAAATATACCGACGACAGTGCCACTGTGCACGCCTCGATCCTCCTCCCGCTGCTATTCTCGGACGAATCGGTGGCGCATCTTCCACGGGAATAGCGGCGAGCGTGTGCCTTACCTCGCCCGTGGAAATGAAATTGCGCTTTCATCGAGCCAGCCGTTGCTCCGGCGAGCCGCTTTATCTCTTTCAACGGCCGCGTCGGAAATCTCGGCTTGCTCTCGGATTGATCCCCAGGTGTCCCCGTCCTATCCGGGGAGCCGCCGTCGTCGTCGTCGTCGTTTGCAACTGTGCATGCGAAACGTCTAATTGTGTCGTAGAACCGGCGATAACGGCGACGAGCGCACACGCAGTCCGTATCGGTAGCGACGATTGCTAGTCAAAGGTTACGCACGATTATTGCGCGGACTTTGCCGCCTCGGCTAGTGTGCAACGATCGTCTTGCGCTAGTCAGCATGCAGTTCGAGTTACACGGGTACTCTGCTTTCGGAGGTGTGCACGTGTTCCGGGTACACTTCGAGCGCAGCAAGCTGTTCGTCGCGAGATCCGAGTCTCCGCCGAGTTCCTCCGAATTGCTCCTGGAGTTAGTGGATAATCTATGAGAATCGAATCTGCAGCGAATCCTCTGAAATTGTTCCTGAGCTTGTGAACGAAACTGGACGATTCGGGCTCGTTTCTATAATCGAGCCGTTTATTTTGAAAGTGGCGTAAGTCACTTTTTCAAAACAATCGAGTTCATGGTAACACTAATTGCGATTGAACGGTATAAAAAAAGTGACTTATGCCACTGTCAAAATAAACGGCTCGATTGTTGAAAATCGGCAACTATAAAAACGAGCCGCGGGGCTCGGATAATCGTATCCCCTCTTCCCAAATTGTTCATTTCTGTTTGGAAGCTCGGGAACAATTCCAGAGAATTTACCGTGCCGTGAACGGATTCGAAGACCCACGGTGTAAAGAGCCGCGACAGATTAATCAGCGACGGCGACGAGACGCGTAGATCGTTTTCGTACAATTTGGAAGTCTATTTATAGTTCCCCGACGTTGGGCGACGGCGAGACGAACGAAAATGTGGAAGGACCGGTTTCGGGGAACCGACGGACGTTCTCGAAGACGGGGAATTTTCGGGTTTCGGGCGAGAGGCATCGTTGCTCGCGAAGCATCGAGAAATGTTCTAGGTGCATTCGCATCGCTGCATCGGACCTCGCCGCTTCGAGGTATCCGGTATCTGGATTCGCGAGGCCGTGCTCGCCGAGTGTCACGTACAGGCGACAGGCAAAGACAACGGACCGTCGGGCCGGGGGGCCGGCGGGGGGTTTTCGCGCAATCATCGAATACCTGCCTCGATTTCATTCGACCTGCCTGCTGCGTACATCGATCGCAAGTGTGAACCCGTCACCTGGCCTGTCAGCTGACCGAGACTTTTCCATTGTGCGGCCCGCCCGTCTTGCCCGAAGGGGGATGATGCTACTCGCCGGGACCGAGGGTCGAGTCGTTCCAGTCGACAGATACCAGTAACGTTTCAGAACTCTCTATCGATCTTCATTAACTTTATTGTCTCTTCGCGTTCTTTCTCTCTCTCCCTTTTTCTCTCTCTTTCTCTCTCTCTCTCTCTCTCTCTCTCACTTTGACATCTCGTCGAATTTGCCTCACGATCCCCTGCGAATTGGATGTATCGAGGCCATGGAAACCAGATTCGTTTCACCTTCAGGATACTCCGGTGAAAAGACAATTATTTTATTATTAAAACGCAGAGCGATCGTAAAAGTTTGATGCGAGGTATACCCCGAACACAGTCCGTTAAAGGCGAGCTTGTAAAGACGATGGTATTGATATTGCAATCTCGGGCACTGCAGGGCGAGCTACGCGACCAGCGACCATGTTTCTACCGGATAATCGTACCCCGATTTCCTTCCGTGAGAGTTTCCCATCGGACACGCTCGGATACGAACTCTGAAGCGAGCGCGAGCACCGGGCTCGAACGAACGCTAAACGAGATTAGCCTCGATTGCAGCGATACCGTCCGATCGAATACACGGCGATCGCAGCCGCCCCGTCGGGGGGTAGAGATTTTTTTCAATTCCGAGCCTCGTTCGCACGGTAAACGCGAACGCCGATGTTTTCTCGATTCCGTTCGGAGCGAGACCGGGACAGAAAAATGGTCCGGCGAGATATCACGGCGATAATTTACGTAAACCGCGTTCTCAGGAACGGCTATTCGCGTTCCTTTCTTTTCCCCGCCGATGCTTAAGTGATTGTCATGTGCACTCGACTCGCGGCGCGATTTAAGCGAAACGCAGTCGGGTGCGACGTATGTATTTCCTTGTTTTTGTACGTCCAACCAGTCTTTACCCCTTCCGCCGCACTCTCGCCTGGTTATTTGAGAAATGTGACTGTCTTTTGCAATTTTAATTGCTCAATTACCGTACGCATTAACCCTTGCGACACCAACGGGACACGCGCGGCGGGGAAAAAAGTCATCAACGAAAACGCTATCTCCGATGAACGTGCCCGCGGTTACAACCTGTCTACCCCTACGGCACCCTTCTGTCCGTCTGTCCCGGGGTTCCGTCGAGGCGATTCTCGCGAAGAAACCGGCAAGCGAAATGATACAATTTTCATTGATAAGATTCCGCTATTTTCGCGTGACGTCTCTTCGGCTTTACCACGATGCCGCACGAATCTCGAGCGTTTCATGCTAATTCATTGTTGCGAGTGCGATTCGGTGGCTTCGCGGAATACAGTTATAAGAAGCGCGACGTCTTCCCACGAAATGAATCATTCGCGCGACGTTGAAATCAATTAACCAGTTAGTTGATAATGATTGCGATCGCATTGAAAAGTGCCTGCCTAAAATGTGTCGCGAAAAGTAAACGATAACGAGTACACTGCCTAATCGAGACACTTTCGATTTGTTCGTTTGACTTCGCATTGGCCTACGAATACAGTAATGTCTCTCTAATTGACGCTCAGATTGTCCACAGATATGGACAATTTGGGAAGAGGAGATACCATTATTCGAGCCTTGCGGTTTGTTTTTATAGTTACGAATTGTCAACAACTATAAAAACGAGCCGCAAGGCTCGAATAATCGTATCTCCTCTGCCCATTTTTGTGCATTTTTTGCAAATTGTCCATTTTTGTGCGCAAATCTGAGCGTCAATTAGGAAGACATTACTGTACAGTAAATTCTCCGTAATTGACGCTCAGCTTGGATACAAAAATGGACAGTTGGGAAGATGAGGTACGATTATTCGAGCCTTGCACCTCATTTTTATAATTATTGACAATCGGCAATTATAAAAATGAACCGCGAAGCTCGGACAATCCTATCGCCTTTTTCCAAATTGTCCATTTTTTTGCACAATCTGAGCATCAATTAGGAAGAATTTACCGTATTCAGAACATCTTAACCTTCTCACTGCTGCAGACGCGTATTTACGATATGTCATTTACCGATCTAGCCGTGTATTCGCCTTGCTTTCACAAGCTAAGTAAAATTATGTAGAACGGGAAGATTCATCAGCCGTTGATACACGCGTATGTATGCGTAGGTGAGATGAGGTACGATTATTCGAGCCTTGCATCTCGTTTTTAGAATTCAGCAATTATAAAAATGAGCAACGAGGCTCGAATAATCGTACCTCATCTTACCAATTGTCCATTTTTTTGCACAATCTGAGCGTCAATTAGGAAGAATTTACCGTATTCAGAACATCTTATTCTTCTCACTGCTGCTGACGCGTATTTACGATATGTCATTTACCGATCTAGCCGCGTATTCGCATTGCTTTCACAAGCTAAGTAAAATTATGTAGAACTGTAAAATGCATCAGCCGTTGATATACTCGTAAGTATGCGTAGGTGAGATGACCAGTACGAGATGGCAAATAAGATGCACGTACCGTTGTCGTCCGTAAAAGCTAAATGCGCAGTGAAAAGGTTAAAATTCGCGAATATAGTTTAGTTTTCGCTAAAATTGCGACTCAACCGGCAAATTACGCGCGACGAGTATGCAGGTCACGGCACAAAATGTATCGTCATTTCTTCGCGACGAGTATACCCGTCGGATACAGGTAACTGGTTAAGAGGGTGTCGAAGGACGCGCGAGTTTCGCAAGAGTCCCGCGATCATCGTCGCGGACCTGCGACGAAGTTGCGGACCTCATCGGGCGATAAATCATGCGCGGTTTTCTTCGTGGAACAGGTTGTACTTGAGGAAAGCGGTCGTCGTAACGGCACAGCGTAAGGTCGGTACAATGGGATCGGTTTCGCGAAGGCGTATCCAGCGGAGAATTTGTTCGCGCGGATCGGTCTCGCCGCGGCGCGCGGCTCTCGGCTCGACAGCAAGTGACGGTAGGGGCGGTTTAATGGTAATTAAATGCGGCGGACATATCTGTCGACGATTCGATTTATTGCGGCGACCGCGTAGCATTGTTTATTCCAAGGAGATCGGGAATAATGGAGCACCGGTGGCGTGTCCCTCGGAGCCGCGCGACTATTGCTCGCGAACGGTCGCGCGAACGCGTCGCCGTCTGCTCGGATGTGCAGGAAACACCGAGCCGAACTGAATTTTTTTTTGGTCGAGGTCGCCGCCGATCCGATCGGAGGACTTCCTTTATTCCATTCTATTTTTTTCTCCGCCTTTTCGTTTCTTTTCCCTCTCGGATCTCGCGGTGGCCTTAAAACGTTCCGCGAAAAGGACGCGTTAAGGATTCGAACGGCCGAGAAGGAAGGAATGGCCGACAGCTTGTATGGCTCGTAACTTCTTAAAACGACGTCGATTTATTCACGGGCTCACCTCGAGGCGATAACTTGCATTTCATTATCCGCTACGGATTTAATGCCGGCGAAGGTGTACTTTGTTCCGATTGGTTTGCCGGTTGCGGAACTGGCACCGCCTCCGTCACGCTCGGCTCTGCGATCATTTGCGTACACGTGTAGCATGTATCGGGATCTGTTAACGGGCGGGTGGTTACGTCACGGCACGCTAAAGCATATCAACGGTCGAGCGGCTATCGACGAAGGAATCGTCGGGAATTATGAAAATTAAACGATCGAACGGTAGGAAACATCGAAAGAAACGAGGAGGCGGCGGCGCGCGCGCGACGAGCGGACGAACGCCGACGGTGGAAAATTCGCGGCGATAACAGGAGAGCCGGGAGAGCTAATGAATTGGACTGGCGACTTAATCGCGCGGATTAAATTAGAACAGTTTCCTTCACCGTTGAAAATCGCGTCGGTGCTGTAATTTAGCCGCCCCGCGCAACCGATTTACACACCGGTTCTCTCGCGCCGTTTCCGTCAATTTATTCGAAAAGTACCGCCGATCCGTTTCTCGTCGAAACCCGACGGAGTCTGGTCTCTCTCTCTCTCTCTCTCTCTTTCCCTCTCCACTTGGTAACTTAACCCAGCTTAAGTTGCTCGGTTCGTGCGTTAAATAACCGAGCGCATTCGATACACTCGTATCCTTCTGCGCCTTTCCAAGCGAGCCCAGATCCGCGACGAGCACAGACCGCTCCGCGATGAATAATTATATCTATCGGAAACGTGACTGCCTGTCAAAGCGGCAGGCTTACGGTGACGTGCCCGCCAATAATAACTTTTTTAATTAATCGCCGACGGTGAATCAATCCTGCGAACCTTTCAGGACGCTTCTCTCCGCCTGTCCTACTATAAATCGGTTGCCGGCGCAAGGGGTCACGGTCGAAGAGTCTACCTGCCAGGCTAACGATAGGCGAACCATCGATCCGGAATGATCGCTGGCAGCTTCTGTAGAAGAGGGACCGAGGCTTCCAGTTTGTCGCGACTGATTAGGATCACTTTCGTCGAGAAACAATACTCGTGTTCTCGATTTAGCGCGACGAGCCACGACGTCGTGTTTGACACTAGAGCGCTGCCAAAGCAGTCGAAATGACAGGTTTCTGATCTTTTTCTTTTACAGTTTCTGACGTTGTGAGAATATTTCTCGGAGGAATTTTCAGGCACGCTTCTTCGTCGAAGTATATATTATGATCAGGCTTTCTTTTACGCAATGAAGTAGCTGTAATTTTAAAGTATAAAGATAGTATAAAGATCCAAGTTAGATTCGAGGTAGTATAAAGATTCAAAGCATTTCAAAATGTCGGTCTATTATTTTTAATCTAATAAAATGATTAAAGAAAGAATTAACTCGCTGTTCGATCTTTGCGTCTCGCAATCGATGCAGACAATTTTTATGTTGCGCAAAAGACCTGATTATAATATAAATCAAAGGAAGCTTAAATAAATCCGGTCTTGGCATTGTTACAAAGCAAACATACATCAGTCGCGTTTAGCGTTCGCTGGTTAAATTGACGATTAAAGAGCTGCGATAAGGAGCACGATGCGAGGAAAGGTCAGCTCCATCGCGGAAGTGGCGAGCGTTGGGCGCCCGCCGCAGGATCCGGTTCGAAAGGATCTCCGAGTGACTTCACTCTGCGACCGTTCGTCGGGCCTCGGGATGAGAGGCTGCGAACGCGGCGATCGTGTTCTCATTGCACCGCGTCGCCGCAAAGGACTCTGGCGAAAAAACGACGGCAGACTCGTTACGAAAAAGAATGAATCAAGAACCGAACGAGCGCTGTGAAATGAAACGGCTATTAGTTCCGGCCGATAGCTCGAGAAAAAAAATAGAATAGAACGAGAAAAAAATTAACGACAACAGAGTTAATTTAGTGGGCATTTAGTTCGACGCTCGATAATCAGGAGCGCCGCGACTCGATGTCATTGAATGCCAGCTAAGGTATGGCCACGGTTCTCTTCGCCGACCTTCGCCAGCTTAGATCGACGATAGTTCCGTGACCGGTCTGGATCACGTTCTGTCTTTCGTTACAATTCGACCGAATTGCATAATTTCGGAGGGAATGAACTATCATCGCCGGGGTCCGGTTGCCGAATCCGGTTTCGCTGCTGGCGATGATCCACCTTGGATCGGTTCAACGACCTCTCTCTCCTCGCTCGTTTATCGATCGCTTTGTACAGGGTGCCGTGTATCTGGTGGTAGAACCGGGTAGGGGCTGATTCTACATCAAAAAATAAGTTGAAAATATAGAGTCAATTTTTCTCCATCGGGGGACTGCGTTTTCGAAAATATCGTGACAAATCTCATCGAATTTTTAGATCGGTTTCATTAATTCTTCTCTTCAAATTAAATTTCTACATACGTTTGCTAAAGTGTTGTTTTGCAATTCCAGTTTTTCCAACGCTGTAATAATTCCTTCTTTTTACTGTTTAATATTCGATATATCATCGGTGTACAAGATAGACTCAAGATAGACTCTATATATAGACTCCAGAAATAAAAATCCAGCAGTGACAGGTCTGGAGAGAGTGGCGAAGAGTAATGAAATAAAAATTTCTAAAACGAAATCCCGAGTGAAAAAAAAATGTATTCTATATCTCCGACTTATTTTTTGACGCAGAATCAACTCCTTATCCGGTTGTCCTGGCAGTTGCAAAACACCCTATACTAATTTCTTTTCCGCTGTTCTCTCGGCTATCTATTTCTGTCGGGAATATTTTCCCCGGTCGACTGTATCGCATTTGACGGTGTATCGATGGTAATTTGAGAGCGGAGTAACGAAAGTATCGGTAGAAAAGTCCATAACAGGTGTCTCGACTTTCAATTTCAACGAGCGAGTAGCAGCGGCGGCCACTCGATATTCAGCCGCGAGCCGTGGCAATCGACGTCCCCAATTTGCATCCTAATACAACGGAATCGACTTTTCATTTTATGCAAACGAATCGATTGAAGGAGCGCGCGCCGCGGCTAGAGGATTCGCGGAACGGTTCTCCCGGTGATTTTCCGAAACGGACGCGCAGTGGCGAGGTTAATCGGTTTTCGGTGTACCCGGAAGAGCCGATTAAATACGCCGGGGAGATATTTTTCGAGATCGGGTCCGACGTGTGCGCTGAACTCGAACAACGAATCGCCGAGGCTGCTCGAAAGATCATCCGCGATTCCTCTTGTATAATGTATCGCGGGAATCGCGACGATGATTGAGCCACATCGGAACACCTGCATCTTCCGGGGAATATAATTGTTGCGATCATTAATCGACGGCTTACGGACTAATTAATCGTCGAGCGCCGGTTCACTTGCCGATCGAGAAACAATATTCTTCGGCCGATGTTCGAAATCGTGTTTCCCAATCGTCGACGCGTTGTTCCCTTCTCGTGACGAGCTAAAGGGATTTCTGCGCGGGTCGCGGCTGACCCGACGCCGCACGCAGTCCTGCCTCCGGCAATTATCGACGATGACGCCGATTGAAAAAGATACGACGATTCCTTTGCGCGTGTCACCTTCGAGCAAGAACAGCTTCGAGGATACGCGGCTCGTTTAATAGCACGCGCTTCTCGACTATCATCGTACGGACGTGCGCCAGGATCCTCCGATATAATGCGATGGAAACGCTCGGCTAATAATTTTCCCCCCTTTATTATTTTCAGTTTTCTATTAACGTGTATCGTTGCCGATCGCGTGTGGCAAGCGAAGCCGAACGTGTTCCCGGCGCATTTTCAATCTCCGACGCTCGTTTCATTTACATCCAGCGATATGAAATGATAAAGCCGGTACAAGGCACGGTACAAATCTCTCGAGATCATTAAATCTTCTCTCGGCACTGTTCTGTCCAGCGTGAATTACCGTGGGACTTGGCCTCGGCCATCGGGAACGCGAGACGACACGATTTGCCCGACGATTTATCTACCTGGTACTTGATCGACCGATTTTTCGGCCACGCATGAGCGCTGCTTAAACACACGGCAATCGTAATAATCGCTTTTAGAAAATATTTCTTATTATGATTTTCATTTCATTTCAATTGATTTCAATCGACGGAAGGAAGTTTTACCATTACAAGTATAATTATAGATGTGCGACGGTGATGCAAAAAGATGACAAACCAGACAAAAGTAACACAAGGTGTAACACGAAGTAAAGAAAAATAATAAGATATAGCAGGTAAATAGGAAACAGATAGCAAGATAATGAATTCGAATATATTTAAAGGGGTAAAGATTCTTAATTGCTCTTAATAGTCGAAGTAACGGAGCGTTTGGAGGCAAATAAAAAAATCAACAAAGTGCGATACAGAATTCGCAAGAGCGCAGATCCGAGCAAAAGGTTCGTACTGTGCAAGATATGTCCTGAAAAGGATAGCCCTAGAACTGTGAAATTTACGCGAGGCTCTAGGTATTACATCGAAGCGAACGTAAAAGTAATTTTCGAAACGAGAACTTCGGATTTTCAAACGGATTTTGAAGGTCCCGGCTACATTGAAGCAGAAGAACGCGGCGAGTATATTCAATTTTCCCGGTCGAAATGCTCGGCGAAATTAAAAAAATCTAGAACGTGTTTGGCAGAGGAGAAGCAGGGCTTTCGAACGATGTAAAAAAAAACATGCACGACATACGCGAATTTCTGAGATAATGTTGCGTGCGAAAGATACGCGCGTACCCAACGGCTTTTACCGTATGCAGAGACCGCTAAACGATTCGACTTCTAAGTGGGAGTTTCCTTGGAAAAATATAACGATCCGCTTGATATTCCGATAGAAAAAATATCAGAAGAAGAGGGAACGCGGTGGGGGCGCGGGGGCTCGAACCGTAATGCCCCGTCGATCTGCAAGCTTCCGAAACTAGATTCGCCTGTCCCTGTAAGAACGGCTTTTGCCTGATCAGAGCGTATATAAGACAGACGACGTCCTATCACAAAGCGCAGTGTTGGATTACCACCTCGACGTCAACAACGAGCATCGTGTGTTATTGGCGTAGTCCACGGTGCCGCCTGCATTCAGTGACCCATCGGATGTTCGAATCGATATCGAACCGGCGCCGAAATTTCCGTAGAACCGATCGCGTTGGACACCTCGCCGAATATTCGTCATGGACGCTCTGCGGACCTCATCCGAGTTCGGGAATTCGGCTCGCGTCGCCGTTGCCAAGGCTGGCACGAACTTCGCGAACAATGTCCAGAAAATCTCCAAGTACACGGTAAGCCAGCACGAATTTTTCGCGAGCCTCCGACGCGAGAGAAGGAAGGAACGGATCTTCTTCTTCTTCTACGCTGGGATTCGAGGCGATGTCGAATTATCTTCGGCGGCCTCTGAAATCACGCGGCACCGTGCAAGCGGTAGAACGATTGTACGATACGCCGGCAATTACGTGCGAGACAATGTACGATTATTAGAATTATAATTGGTCATTTGATAGAGCAGCAGAACAAGTTCGTTGATAGCATTGAGAAACGGTACACGTCTGGGTCTGATATAAGACGAGATGAGGGGTCATTAGGGGAAGCTAATTACGGGAGGAATACCGGCGAAACTTGATCGTCCGCCGGATCCGTCTGCGGCGTGACGTAACCGAAAATAAACAGGTGCCATTGCGGTAACCAGACAATTTCGCGGGGAATTATGTAAATGCCCGCTACGGCTAGAAACGTCCCGTTAGATCGTGGAAAACGTGTCTCGATCGATAACGAGAAAAACGAGGAATCGCCGGGCGAGGATCGTGCGAATTCTTTCGCTTATTGTCGACGAAACGAAAATTGAACCGCACGCGGTTCTATTAGCCGTTGTGAATCATTGCATGGAACTGGATCAACGATACGCGCGTACACTTCCACACGGCGACCATGTTGGTCGCATTAGAGAACCGATCGAGATAAAGCGCAGCTGAAACGGGAGCGCATCGCGAATTGCGGCATATGCCGCGCGATGCGACGACGGGCCACGTTAATTGTCGCGTGTGAAAGCGCTAATTCAATTCCCGTCGCCGCGAAAACAGCCAATGTTGTTCTAGCCTCCCGTTGCATTGGGTTACATTTACCATACGTATATATGTATATATACTTGCAGCGCTCGTGTCGCAAGATATACTGTTACCGAGGACTTTCAACGATCGGTTACGGCCGCGCATTGTTCAGCCGTGTCACGAGCTGCTCCAGTAAAAGACTCCGGATCGTACCGGATTTCCGGAAACGCGGCGATCCCTGAAAATGGCCCGGACCGAGATCCTGACCCGCGGTGAACGAATTTGTTTCAGCTGGCGGATTCAGCGGAGCCGGGAACCATCGGCATGGACTACCACATCCAGGTTGTCACGAAGGACGACAAACTCAGGATACTGAAGTTCCTCAGGCGGTTCTTCTTCAGGGACGAACCGCTTAATCACTCGATCCAGCTGATACCGGAAAGCGAGGACAGCACCTGCCTCGAGTTGGAGGACTATTGCAGCACCTCCACCATGGAAAACAACCTGAGCCTCATGGCGGTCTCGACCAGCGGAGCCATAGTCGGCGTCACGCTAAATGGTAACGGACCGAAAACCTTTCACCTGTCGCTTTTTCTTTACAGAGACGGTTTTAACCCTTTGCACTCGACATTTGTTATATCATCTTTTAGAATAATTTTGATATTAACAAAATTTGCTTTTGATAAATTGTTAAGAGCGTAACTGTTGCGCGAGTGCCAAGAGTCAATTTTCATGTATGCATAAAATGCATTTTCTCATATAAAATAGAAATACTGTAAGTTAGAAAAATTATTTTATATTTTCGGTTGAAACAGGCTTCGAGTGCAAAGGGTTGAGACCAGCAGAGTCGTATCGCTACTCGTGCTTCCGCCAACGATTGCAAACGATCTTTTCAGCTCGAAGTCCGCGTTGCTCGCATAGCTTCCGCCTGGAATAAAAATTACGGCCGGGAAACGGCATAGCTAGGCTCCGAAAGGGTTAACGCGCAAGCTGACACGGGACTGTTTACGCGGCTCCCGGTGTATCTGGGTTAATAACACGGTCCGGTACCGAGAACGTGTTATTCTCAACGAGAAACGATGACACGCCGAACGAAAATGTTCCGCGAGCACGAAACGATGACGAATCGGTCGCGGCGACGAATTTCACCTCGGCTCTATCGGTTTGCATATGTTGCGTNTTAGGGGAAGCTAATTACGGGAGGAATACCGGCGAAACTTGATCGTCCGCCGGATCCGTCTGCGGCGTGACGTAACCGAAAATAAACAGGTGCCATTGCGGTAACCAGACAATTTCGCGGGGAATTATGTAAATGCCCGCTACGGCTAGAAACGTCCCGTTAGATCGTGGAAAACGTGTCTCGATCGATAACGAGAAAAACGAGGAATCGCCGGGCGAGGATCGTGCGAATTCTTTCGCTTATTGTCGACGAAACGAAAATTGAACCGCACGCGGTTCTATTAGCCGTTGTGAATCATTGCATGGAACTGGATCAACGATACGCGCGTACACTTCCACACGGCGACCATGTTGGTCGCATTAGAGAACCGATCGAGATAAAGCGCAGCTGAAACGGGAGCGCATCGCGAATTGCGGCATATGCCGCGCGATGCGACGACGGGCCACGTTAATTGTCGCGTGTGAAAGCGCTAATTCAATTCCCGTCGCCGCGAAAACAGCCAATGTTGTTCTAGCCTCCCGTTGCATTGGGTTACATTTACCATACGTATATATGTATATATACTTGCAGCGCTCGTGTCGCAAGATATACTGTTACCGAGGACTTTCAACGATCGGTTACGGCCGCGCATTGTTCAGCCGTGTCACGAGCTGCTCCAGTAAAAGACTCCGGATCGTACCGGATTTCCGGAAACGCGGCGATCCCTGAAAATGGCCCGGACCGAGATCCTGACCCGCGGTGAACGAATTTGTTTCAGCTGGCGGATTCAGCGGAGCCGGGAACCATCGGCATGGACTACCACATCCAGGTTGTCACGAAGGACGACAAACTCAGGATACTGAAGTTCCTCAGGCGGTTCTTCTTCAGGGACGAACCGCTTAATCACTCGATCCAGCTGATACCGGAAAGCGAGGACAGCACCTGCCTCGAGTTGGAGGACTATTGCAGCACCTCCACCATGGAAAACAACCTGAGCCTCATGGCGGTCTCGACCAGCGGAGCCATAGTCGGCGTCACGCTAAATGGTAACGGACCGAAAACCTTTCACCTGTCGCTTTTTCTTTACAGAGACGGTTTTAACCCTTTGCACTCGACATTTGTTATATCATCTTTTAGAATAATTTTGATATTAACAAAATTTGCTTTTGATAAATTGTTAAGAGCGTAACTGTTGCGCGAGTGCCAAGAGTCAATTTTCATGTATGCATAAAATGCATTTTCTCATATAAAATAGAAATACTGTAAGTTAGAAAAATTATTTTATATTTTCGGTTGAAACAGGCTTCGAGTGCAAAGGGTTGAGACCAGCAGAGTCGTATCGCTACTCGTGCTTCCGCCAACGATTGCAAACGATCTTTTCAGCTCGAAGTCCGCGTTGCTCGCATAGCTTCCGCCTGGAATAAAAATTACGGCCGGGAAACGGCATAGCTAGGCTCCGAAAGGGTTAACGCGCAAGCTGACACGGGACTGTTTACGCGGCTCCCGGTGTATCTGGGTTAATAACACGGTCCGGTACCGAGAACGTGTTATTCTCAACGAGAAACGATGACACGCCGAACGAAAATGTTCCGCGAGCACGAAACGATGACGAATCGGTCGCGGCGACGAATTTCACCTCGGCTCTATCGGTTTGCATATGTTGCGTCCGATTCGAATATTTTGTCGCCAGCCGGATAGCATCGCGCGACGACGATTCGTAGCCGAAGGACGCGGCTTGCCGTCTACGTTTTCGAATAGATTTGCGCGCCAGATAGGCGAGGATCTTGAATGCCAGGACCTTGGAGATCGGCGAACGATATTTACGATGAGGCGCGCGTAAACAGCCGGCGAGCCGGCTCTATCTCGTAAAAATCTGGTCGCGAGGGAGGCGACAGACACACCTACGGTGAAACGGTACCGCACAAACGTTACATAAATTGTGATGCGAGTACCGAAGCGAACTGCGAGACTTAATAATCGCTACCGGTTGTCGCAATCGCGGGTAATTATGTTACGCTATCGTCGTTTCCAGTTAGCCGCGCGTTATTCAGATCAGAAACACCGGCTTCACGGCTGCGCCGGAGCAAAAAGAAAGGAGAGACAAAATGGTAACAATGGGAGTGGACGGAACGAACGAACGACTCGTGGCCGCAGCCCGAATCCTTGAGGCGTTTGAAAAATTCAAACCGCTAATTGAACCTATCGACGGATTTCTTGGTAATCGCGGCGACTCTCGACGCTCCTATCTGTACGACGATCGAGTGTCGATAACGTTTGATTGCACGGTAATTGTTATTGATCGGCGCGATATGGATCGTTGAAATTTGACGCGCGCGAAACCGATGGGACTTTAATCGAGGTCCGGCCGTTGCAAACGAGTAACATCGTGACATCGTATATTTTATGGTAATTAGAGACCTTTAGAAATAGAATCTATGCTCGATCGCCGTTCACTGTACAACATACTGGCGCATTGTATACAGGGTGCTTCTGAAACCGCGATGAAACCGGAAATTCTTCGCGCGAAAGCAGATCGAAGGTAGGAGATGTGATTATTTTGAAACGATCCCCTGGATTCGGGAGAATCGGCCTCGGAGGGCTGTCCGTAATACGCGACGCTGCTTTAGGTAGAAAAAGGCAGCAGTCGCGGGCAGATCGCAAAGTTGCGAGCTGAAAAGCAAAACCATGTGTGAAAAAATGATTCGTCCTGAACTGCATTATATAAATAGACGAGCTGTGATTGAACCTCGACTTTAACAACAATGTCTCCCATTGAACGTACGCAACGGAATACTTGATCGAGTCATTATTGCGCTCTACATACAACTTTATTCATTGCCAATTCGCCAACACGGGTTACGCAAACTTCGTCGCCTATTAGTATTCAAGACGGAGTACAGCTTTGTTTTGCAAAGTAGATACGATCGTGTAGGATACACACCCGGACGTTTATACGGTTGCATTTTTCAATCAATCGGATTCAATTGATCCACAGGAAAAATGGAACCGTCGACCGAGGATGAGCCAGAATATATAGTCACCTGTAAAAACCCGAAGTTCAAGAAGATCCTTAGGCTACTGAACTACGTGGACAGGAACGTGAACCGGGACGAGCAGTTGCGGGCGTTGAACACCCTCGAGATCAGGATAATCTCCGTAGACACCAATTGGAGGGGCAAAGGAATCGCCAAGGCCCTTCTGGAAAAGACGATGTAGGTGTATGGAACATTTTTTTAATGGTTGCGGTTCTAGCTTTTTCTCTACTTAGTTGATTAACTACGGACAGGTGAGAGATAGATAAATGATAGGAAAATAAAAAATTGGCTTGTCTTAAAGCAACTAATCTAATCAATCTAATCAATATAAAATTGGAAAATATTTTTTCCTTGTGTTTCCTCCTTGGTCGGAGATATTTCATGATTGTTCTGTTTGCAGGGAAATCGGGAAGGAGAAAGGATTTCACATTGTTCGCGCTGATTGTTCATCCTTCTATTCGGGAAAACTGTGCGCAAGACTCGGTTTCGAACAAATCTACGAGCTACCTTACGCGGAATACGTCGACGAAGAGGGCAAACCGATATTTTCACCGGCACTTCCGCACGCCGGAGTTGTTACATATATTAAAAAATTGTGAAGAATAGCGCGACATTCTCCTTGACCAAAATTTCCAGAATGACTTCGAGAAACGCACCCTTGAGAACACACGTACACGTTTTTCGATGGCTACTTTTCTAAGGCTCCCCTTATTTATTTATCACTTTTGTACGAAATCATTAAGCGACAATCTGCGTGAAAAAACGGGTGTCTTGTGATCGATTGCCGACATACTATTAGTACAATGTCTTATACGGAAAATGTTCAAAGTATAGATTCAAGATTATTGTGTTTTGTAAAGGTATACCTACATAGAAAGTAATCTGATTCGATTCAAATAGTCTTTAGTATTATCCCTGTTCGGTGGTAAGCGATAAATGTGCTCTTTTTAGAAAGAGCCAGTTGCAAATCATGTTTTAGATTTAGTAATTTATGCTTTTTGTAAATTATCATATACACGTTAGAATTTCTCCTTTCAAAGTTTATGCGACACGAAATACACGAACTTTTATGCAATAAAATCGGCTATAAACCCTTTTTGCCTCGCTCGAAATAAGTGAAAATCGAGAGTATGGTTTTAAATTCACTTAACTGTAACATATAAGAGATTCATCATGTTTCAATCTGATTTATTTGACTAACAAAATACACTTTCAAAATTGCTTCTCTATACGTGTTTCAGCTGTACAAATTTACAATATAATTTAAAATAATAATAAAGTGCGCAGAATTTATAATCTTGTACAATATATACAGATGTCTTCAGGAATTAAATTTACATGTTAAACGTAATCACAGCATGCAGAATAATTTAAAATAACTACCATTGTTGTAGCATATTATGATAAATTATTTGTCACTCCATTTGAATTGGAAATTTTCATACTTGTCATTAAAATTTTGTATTTGCTCATGCAATGTTCTGTGTCTAGCTTCTTCTTTAATTCTCTCATATTCTGCTTGATACCTCGCTTGTTTTTCTAACATTGAATGCCTATTCCTGTGCATAATATTATGAATAAACGTTAACTGAATGAATGTTCCAATTATTATCAAAGCTATAGATCCCATAACTGATCGTCTTATATCTGCAGATTTATGTTGTCTGTAGTCGTTAGGATCTACGAATCCCCAGTCCGTATACGTTTTATATGGTCTGCAAATAAATATTTTCTATTGCATCAAAAATTTTAATAACTGTAAATATTGAAAAAGAAAAGATTTCACATCTGTATACCCTTTCCGACTTCGACCATCAGGATAAGGGGGACTCTCTGTGTAAGTATAATTATACTTTAAACTCATATCATAATCTCTTTTCTTGTTCCGTTTACTCAATGTGGAATAAGCTTCATTAATTCTCACGAAATCTGCGTGACTTCCATCCTTACCACTATCAGGATGCATCTAATAGTTTTTAAATTTGTCATATGTCCTAAAAACAATTCTAATGCAATTACAAAATTCCTCACTTACTTTCTTTGACATTTTTATAAATGCATCTTTGATTTCCTTTTGTGTCGCGTCTTGTGAAATGTTCAATATATCATAATAGTTGCCTTTAGACCTTTAAGAAATATGATTCCATTTAAAAAATAGTTAATTGTACTATAAAATATATACATACATTTTGGGATTCTAACCTCTGTGAATGGTTGTAATTCCCATAATAACGAATTAGTACAGGTACGTCGAGTTTGTAGATACGAAAAATTTGAGCCATTTTTTAAAAACTTAACATGCAAATGAAAATACCAATGCACTCGTTGGATTTATTCTAGACAAGCGCGAATTAGGTTCTAAATAAGTACAACATTTTGTAGAATTAATAATTATGGATAATTGAAACCTTAAATTTGAATCGCACTGCGTTAAAATTTGAACTGATATTTTAAAACTATCTGCGCACTTTAAAATTACATGATTATGTACCTATTTAATAATAAATATCAGTTCAGCTACTGCTTAGTTCAACACATAGCTTTTAGCTACTCGACGCTAACTTCATTGTATTGGTTTGATTTAAAAAAAAGAACGTAAACAGTGAACAAACAAATGCGGAAGTCAAGCTTACATAATATTCGATACACTGTGTCTGTCCTATATATGTTTACATTTCACTTCTATTTCTGTCTTAGCTAACATTACTTTCTAATGGTTAATATCAAAAGGGGGTATAAACTTGATGAATTAAATATTTATTAAAAACCAAAGTCAGATTTTGCAATATAGTAACAATTCTCATTTGCGTTTGGTGTATAGTATAAAATATATTACAATATGTATACAGGAAACATTCTTAAATCTATAAGATAGGCCTCAAGCCCAGCTCGATGTCTATGCATTTTATGCTTGTTATACGTAATTTATGCATTATTTGTTATGCGTATTGTATAAGCTCTAATGTCATCAAAAAACTGTCATTTACATTATTTTCATATTGCATATCTTATGTACAAATTGTACGTTGTGACAATGAATCGTAATGCAAGCCTTCTTATCAAGAGATGTGAGATTAACTAATGACATAGAGTTACTAATTACAACATATAAAAATTGACTTCGTTATGTATTTTCTAGTTAATGCAAACATTGGCTCGCCATCGTGTGTGATTCTTTAAGAATGAAATGCATTGGCACAAACAACTTTCCGTGTATATTGCATACTTATGAAGTTTTGTAAATGCTCACTGTCGTTAGTTCAATTTATAAGAAGATCGTAAATTTACTCGGAATTCCCTATAATTTTATTTTGCACATTTCGTTCTACGATCTTCTTAAAATTCAACGAATAGATTTATATAAAACATAACTTATACGTCTTCGTCTCACAACTCGCGATAGTTTCACTTTATAGAAATAAAAACTGTCACTCGCTAGTAATAAAATATATACGTATTCATAATTTTTTATACTGCTTTCAACAATTTGAATACAAAGGCAAGTTATATCATTTTGCAAGCAATCTGAAAGTTTTCAAGATCACTACAGATTCAAAATGAGTCTACTCATTTTTATTTTCGTGCAACGGTACGTTCGGATATTTCGGAAAATCCATAGCATCCACGGGATTCTTTACTTTGAAACTAGGAAATAAACCATTCATGCTAGTTCGAGTATTATATCCCTTAGAGTAACCATCCCAATGGTTCCCGAATACTTCGATTAAGTCCCCTTGCTTCAGTTCAATTTCCCCACTTCTCCTTGGTTTATGGTCTAAAATAGCTCGATGGGGATGCGGATTTTGACCGCCATAATAGTAAATATCGTCTAGTGAAGTAAATCGATTGTAGGCATCAGGATAATACGTTTGCATCAACTCGTATGCCACGCGACACACTTGAGAGCTAAATGTGCATACTAAATAGTCGGATTCTGATAAAAGATGTATGTCTATAATTATTCCTTGCAGGGAAGAATCCGAATATCGTCTCGCAACCGACGCAGTCTCAGCAACTTTTTGATCCCCTACTATTTCATAGTTCGGATAACGATTTCTTGCTGTTGTGATTACTTTTGGATCGTCGCTAGCTAAAAAGACTCTCTTCACTTCGGGTTTTATCTCGAGTTCATTATAATATTGTTCAACTTTGATCATGTACTCGTCTATATCATGATAAGCAGCTTCAGTTCCAACTTTATCCGTTCTTCTCACGTGAACACCAACAATAGGCTTCTTAAAACCGAGTCTCTCCTTAGCGACCTCTAATGTCTTTTGCACATGTTCTTGAGGTCGCATTAAATATTTTAGAACTTGACCTACCCACCATACTAACGGGTGTCCATGAAGTTTCTCCAGTCTTGGAGCTAAGTCCGCAGGTACGCTTGGTGGTTGGAACTTTGGCTTTGGATAAACATTATCTACGATTGGCAAAGAGATCACTTGCTTAGATGGGTCCCCAGGCCAATTAGCATGGGACGCTCCATTTGTAGACACGCAAGTATCGCTGAGTGGCTTAAAAACAGATTCCCAGCCATCCTTATGATACCGCCATCCTTTAGATTTGATTATTAGTGTTCGTTCTGTGCCATAAGCTACCAGGAAACAGTATGTAATATGATGTATCTGGAATTCGTAAGAATTCAATTTGAGGCCCTTCAAACATGTTCTTATTTTTAAATCGTCGTTTTCTCTACCTGACATCCAAATCCACAGCCTTTGTTTAAACTGCACACCAATTTTCTCGCTTTGTTACAATCACCAGGATTTTGTAAGGCCTTGAACCTTCTTTGTACAAGGTCGGATAGATCTTTTGCTTCTTTCTTGCGCCATTCGTTGTAGCCATCTGCTTTTGTTAATTTATCAATGTCTATTATAAGAGACTTTTTATGATCCCAAACATTATCTATTATATCTTGTAGTTTTTTTTCTTTTAGCTCATAAGTTGGTTTATCAATTGTTTTCCTAAGCTTATTTAATTCTGCACTAACATAATACCTATCTCAAGAATGAAGATATTATATATAATATTCTTAACACTTAAAATGTATGTATAAGCGATGTCCTTTACATTATATTTACCATGTTTCTTGTACATTGTTTCTTATCCTTCTCCTCAATTCTTCATACTCTAGCAAAGGGATACCATGTTTAAAATTATCTTGATCGTTCACTAAATCCTCGTAAACAGAAACTTTATCTAATTTTTCGTGTATCGAACCTAGATGGTCTCCTTGAACAGGTTTGGACCTTTCTCTGAAAATAATGATACCCTGTACAACGATAAAATCACCAGTCTCTTTGCATCAAGCTTCAAATAAACATACATTTCTTGATAATACTTTTCTCATACTTACCCTAAAACTATATTTTTTAATGCTTCATTTTGTCTCTTAAGAATTTCAAAATCACTCATCATTTGAGCTAAACGTTGAGCATTTTCTTTGTTTGTAGGACTGTCATTGTTCATTGATAAACTATTTGTCTTAAAGATATGGGATACCGATACGATTAATACCAAAAGCCATGTAGCTAATAATGCTATTCCTACTTTTCCTAGCCAGCCAGGTCGGCCTGACCAAAACGTTGCCATTTTATATAGTGGTAGCTGGATTATGAAATTTAATGTGTAGCATTACGACATCTGTGATCATAAAATTAGAAAATTAAAAATTACTCATTGTTGTTCCTTATTAACATGGTTAAAGTAATTTGCAATACAATTAAAGTACAACAATGGAATTTATGATGTTCTATTGCTTCATAATAACAGTAGGAATTGCACTTAATGAAACCACTTTATCAATAAGAACTCAACAATCAAAACCATATGTAACGATTATCTCAATGTGTCGTAAAATATCTTTAAATATATCAGTTTAGGCAGTAACCGTAGTAATAGCATCAAAACAGTTGTTTCTTTTCGAATTAAAAATGTACAATAGCAGAAAGTCTGATCGTTCGAAATCGGTCAATGATCTTCAATGCATACGTTCTACCAAATAAACGCGGTTCTATCAAATATTATAGCAAATGAAACAAATAATAGAATGAAACATAAAATATCGATACATACGAATAATGTTTAGTTGACATATGCAAAGTTTCGATGTGTGGGACTGAAAAGCATCGTAAAATCACTGAGTTGTAGGAAACACGTTCTTACCATGAACTTCAGCACCTATGTAAGAGTCACTTAAGTGTGCGATAAAAAAGCATAAATGATCGTCTAACGTGGTCATAGGAACAAGGCAGCCTACATTCAATTGACAGGTTGATCTGTTTCATGTGTAGCTTTAGAGTCATTAAACAGAATTTCATATAGCAAGTACTACTAACATGAATTACAATCCTCGCGAACATATGTATTATGAAGAGTTTGCACGAGTGCGGTCGTAATATATCCTGATGTATCCTAATTCGCGGATACGCTTATCTTAGGACGCTGGGAAACCGCTATTACAGATAAAGCTGTTTTCACATCGTACCTGCAGAAAGTGGCATAAACAAACTATACACCTATTAACTTGCATTTCGATAGCATTACACGCGAATAGACGAAGTCTCGTCGATTGGATAATTTTTTTCAGCATTTAAAAAGCCAACGAATACGCATACTTTATTAGTAACGTGGATACACTAATTTTAGAGCGTGACTGCAATATTAGATGGCGGTAAAAATGGCATGGTTGATTCTAGCATGGAACACCACTATCTATTCACTCCATGCATGATTCTCTCGTATAACCTAGAATCTTGACACTTCGAGAGCACTGCGTCGTGCGAATTGTGAACGGACGATTAACGCCGGACGAACCATACGAACATTTCTCGAACCGATATTTATAGTGTTGTTGATGAATAATCTGTGCTGGTGAAATTATAATTCGAACCAAAAGATTGTGGATAATAGGAGCATGAGATTGACAGAAATAACGTATCAGCTCTGCATCGTGTCGCGGTATTTCTAAACGCGGGTTGGTTATTTCTTTACGCTCCTCCCTCCCCGCCAGACCCTGGACCCTATCCAAAAATCGCACAGCATCCTTGCGCGCGAAACACGCGTACGCCGGTGGACGCACATTGTGTGCCCGTACTTCGCTGTACATATCTGTGAATAGTGTATTTTAAGCGTTAGTTTTACGGAATTTAGTGTGTGAAAAAAACGCTACGCTTCGTAGTAACTGCAACGGTCGCAAATAATCGTCGAAACCGACCAGTGCATCGCTCGACTGGTCGAGTTCCGTGGAACTCGAACCGCGAATCGGAAAGAATACCCACCATTAATTGGATCGAATTTGTGAAAAAGAGGCAACCGAGCCAACAGCACGCGGGATCCGAATTTCTCCGATTTATTATCGACTCCTGTCCCCCGCGCCCCGGTTTCCTACCCCTCCAATTTCCCTCCGAACGGTCGTCGATGAACAAGCAATTGTCGTTTTTCGTATGTTTCAATTATTTTTTCCTTCCGACTCCGACATCCCCTCAGTTTTGTTGGGCCGTTGGTCGAGCGGTTGTATCGTTCGGTAAAACCCGAAAGATCGAATAGACTAGAGAGCGAGTTGCGTCCGTTCGACGGTTCCCTTTGTGTTTCTCGTTTCGTTTTTCGTATCGTCCGGCAGTGTTGTCAAAAATCCGGCAGCACCGCTCGCGGCCAGCTGCCATTGCTGTACTTTCCTGTGGTGTCTGGCGTTCGTCGATCCGCGGCATCGTAACAAATAGAAGATTTCTCTACGGTTGATCGTTCCCGTTGTCGTTGTCGGCATCGTCGTCGTGGAAACAGCGGAGATGCGACAGTGTTAAGGGTCGCACGCCGTCGGAACATGCCCGCGGAACAAACGTAACGGGTGATCTATACCTTTGGCTCCGGACGCCGGTTCTGACCGAGCTAACCTTCACGGCGAAGGTTCTTCTTATCTGTCCAACCGTCGTTGAACGTGCCCGTGGCAGCGGTACAAATTGACAGAACCATGAAGTGGCTCGGTGCGAGTAGCGCTGGTGCAGCGGGTGAACCGGCACCTTCCGTGCAATTACACCATCCTTCCGCTAACGGACATATACCCACGGTACGCACCTATTTTCCATACTTTCTGTTTCTATCTTCGCTGATCGACGCACGTCCGCGTGAATATTTTTCTCTTGACAGCGAAGCTTTTACGTGCGATCGAAATATCATAACCTATCTCACGTGTTTCAAAGACAGAAGAATTCATATTCGCGGAACGTCAATTCGAACGTTCACGCGATCGTATTATTCCGCGTCGTGTCTCATTTTAATTAATACACCGGAAATCAAGATAGAGGATCTTTATTCCGTCCTCTGAAAGAGTAGAAAAGTGCCCTTCCATTGTGCATATGCTTGTGCTTTGTTTGATCCATCATGGCAGAATGTACTCTATAGAAATAATGATGTTTAGGTCGCATTTACTAAACTGATTCCAACAATGAAATTAAAGCAGCACACCACCTTTTTTCTCTGTTTTTAAGGAGCAGTTGCAAGTTACACATTTCATACAAGTCTCTGCGTAGTGAAGAATTTGTTTTGTAACCGCTTATTGCTACCCTGTGAAATAATGATAAATATTTGGGTACTTTATATTAATTATAATTGAAATCGATAGTAATTGTGTTGTACCTTGTATTGATTAGTATATGATATAAATATTATGTTTCTCAAGCATAAATTTATTTAATGATCCTGTAACAATAATAATTGTTTCTGTTATCGATAGGATGCAGAGCAATGCGGACAAGTAATGGCTGGCGGTGATAGTATGCGTATTCAACCTGGCCAGACACATCAAATGAGTGTAAGCAGAACGCAGGATGATGCCATGGTTGGTTACGTGTTCCAACGCCCCACTGAGCCAGAATTTAATGCCCAGTCCTCAACCTTTCAAACAAAACAGGCACCGAGAGCCTGGGCTCTTGCGGACGATGCTATCATTGATAATGTGGGTATATCAAATTGTGGACGCTTCTATATTTTACGATATAACCTTATAAAACATGATAAAACAACTGCTTAAAAAGGTTGTACACATACTTGTAATATTTCATACTCTCTTAGTCTTTTTAAGTAATTTTTTTATCATGTTATATTATGCTCATCAAAAAAGTATTCTCTCCAGGAATATTGCAAAGAATAATTTAAATGATAATAAGAATAATATTCCGTCACACAGACGCGTTTATTCCTTTATTTACTCGTAATTTCGAATATTTTACAGAACCCAGAAAAGTGGAAGTATCCGATTACCAAACTGAGTGTACCACAACAAAATCAACCGCAACAACTAGGACTACAAACTATGAACAATGTTCATCTACCTTATGAAATACATCCGATGCAACTGAAAGTGAGTAGGACATTATAAATATCTATAGATGTTGTTACAAAACTTTTCACATCTTTTCAAAACAAATCAAATTTGCGCAATATACTGTTAGTATTGTTATTGCAATGTATCACATAACAGTTCTTATTAACAAATCAAATTTTTATCTATTTTATAGAGTGGAGCACCTGGCGCAGAACACTTGGTCTATCTCAATAACCAAATAACAGCTCAGCAACAAGTTGCACTTTTTCATCATCAACAGCAACAACAACAACAGCAGCAATTCAGGAATGGTCAGGTAAGCACGACCAGTATCAGTTGTTTTAGTAGTGCGTAGTTATAAGTAGCCTAATATTTTGCTATTGTATAACGCAATGTACAGTATCCTTGATATTTCTACAAACAAAATCAAGTCTCATGCACGAGTGAGAATTATTTTCTGGAAATATGTTAGGTATTACTGTAGAATGGCAACAGGTGGGAGAACATGTAAGCAGAGATTTTTCAGGACAATGTAAAAGGTGAAATCAGGAAAGGACAAATTGCGATTTCAGTTCCGTTTTCAAGTTATTAATAGAGACAGGCCTCTAATAAATTGAAAACGAAATAGAAATCACATTTTTTTCTTTTTGATTATCCTCTTAGTACGTTGTAAAAAATCATTCCTAACTATTGTTATTCTCAAAACACGTAAATAGATGCGTGTTTTCCTAAGGTTGGACAATGGATCAAGTAACTTCACGTCGTATTCATAAATTACTGAAAAATATAAAAGTCAACCGCTTCTAATTCTGTTATCATCTTACTGAATGTATTTATACCATTTATATTTTATTTAATTTCGGAGTATCACGGCCACTGATAGCAGCGGCGAACAATCTAATAAATAGAAAGTCTCGTCGACGTGTAAGAGCCTCGCGTGAATTGTGTCAGGGTCAAAATTTGGCCGTTTAACAAATTAAGAATTCTTCTAACGCTTATCGAAACTAGTATGTCCGACGTTATCGACGGTTCACCTCCGAAAATGTCAAAGGGGATACGTTTCTTGTTCGCGTGTATGCATATTTAATTTCATCATATTCGATTGTTCGAATCGATTAGCATCAAATGTGTTCACCGAAATTATCCTTCGCGACTCCGGCAATTATTCGGTTGGGTTGGATTAAGAGTAACTGTAATAACGGGTCGATGGGATAAATGTTTGAAAGAACGTTGTTTCGCAAGTGGAGCCCAGGTCTGGTCGGGTCAGGTACATTCATTAAGCGCGATCAAATTTTCATCCGGTCGCCGTGAGAGGTCGTAGGAACGTAGACAAACGGTAGGTAGAAAAGTTAGGTGAGCGTGGATTGGTCGGCCGGGTTCGCGAAACGGAGCACGATTGGCAGAGGTTTCGGCAGAGGGCGCTCGGCTCGAGCGTCGTTCTTTGTTTCGGTCAGGAGTTAGGAGGGCAGTCTCTGTCGAAGGAGAGAGGCCGGTTAACGAAAATTTGAGAGGAGAGAGAGACGCGGATAAGTAGAAAAGGCATCGTGCTGCGACGACGACGACGACGACGACGACGAAGCCCCGCGTTATTTTAACGGCCGATAACGACACGTCTCCCGCGATATGCTAGGACGGACGTGAACTTCGAATCAAGAACGCGGTAATCGACTCGCTCCCTCCTGTAAATAAACGCGTATTCGCGTAGTGAGTGTGCAAAGTGCGCGAGAGGAGAAAGGAGGTGGCGACGGCGGCGGCGGTAGCAGCAGCAGCGGCGGCGGTGGCGGTGGAGGAGGAGGCGGAGGAGGAGGAAGAAGAGAGGAGCATAGGTAGCAGTGGCAGCATCGAGGCACCCGGAGGTGTCGAACTGTTTGACAGGCGGCCGAACGCTTTTCTTTCTCTCTCTCTCTCCCTCTCGCGTATACTGTCGTCCGTGGTGCCGTGTTTCGTATTGTTCACCGGGGCGGTGTGGTGTGCTCTGTTTCGTGAGAGGTCTGTCTCTGTCCGTCTGTCCCCGTGTGTTCCGGAGAGGAAAAACGAACGTGAAAACAACCGGGAGTGGTGTGTATCGTATTCAGTGCCGGCTGAATCGGCGTCCGCGCCCCGCGACGCACCGACGACGTTCGTTCACGCAGACGACCGTCCGTCCGGCCTTCTTGTTTCTTCAGCGAGAGGCGTCCTCCACGGCGTTCTAAGGATTTCGCGGATTTCACCTTCGCCTTCGACTCGAAGATAACTTCGCCCGTCGGGGATAGTAGTGCGTGCGAAACAGTGTGTGTCGAATTTTTCCGTCGCGTTGTCGGTGTACCACGGGGTTAACGGTGAATCTCTCGGAGGTGACGCGCCGTGCCGAGGGTACCTTGGAGACGGTGGAGAGTTTCGGTGTAGGTTACGGCCAGGGAGCGGGCACGAGCACAGGCGACTGGATGAAACCACCGGGGGATCTGTTTCTTTACTGCGACATGAAGGATTTGGGGGCCGACATGGTATATTTGTTTCTTCTTTTGTCTTTTTTCTTCACAGTTCTACTTTGTACACCCGACCGTCAATTATCGCCGCGACTCTAGTCCGCGCCTACCTTTCAAATATTCACACGCGCGTCATACGATCGCCAATTTTCTAGGTTATGTTCCGACAAATTTTTCACTTTCCAACGAAAACCTCCATGTTTATTTGCCAGGTTCCGAGCCCGAGAACTCGATCGCGGGCTTGTTACGACTGTTAAACGTTTCTTCGCGTAGTTTGTCAGAAACGAGATCGTTATTTTTTTCTCGCTTTTATTTCTTCTCATTGCGAAAGCAACGTTCCGCGCTTATGTACCTGTACTTCGCGTCGGCGATCGTATACCTACGAACACGGCAACGTTACACACGTCTGTCGCGAAGTATATTTTCGTCCCGTGTATCACACATCGCGTTTTGTTTTCCACGCTTTTCGCGAGGAGGTGCATATTTCAAGGGAGAGACTCTCTTCTTTTTCTGAAACGTCAGATACCGGAGAAATCTTGACGAACACGCCGTAAATACTTGCGCTCGCCGTGATCTGTCAAAACGTCCCGTTCTGCTCCCGTTTTGTTATCGTTTCGCGAACTTCGAATTTTTTCTTCGTATATTCTCCGGTCCATTCGGAGAGTTCTGCGGTTTTCGCAGAACGGGGGCAGGCTACTAGGATACGACAATACAGAACTTTATTGGAATCTATATATATATATTAATCTCCGTTTTATTCAATCACTCTTCATCATCTTTCGGATATATGGAAAATTCCTCTTTCGCAAAAGCCTCTTTGCTTATTTGCAAAATCGTTGTCAAGATGGCTCCAATACAGATGTGCGAATCCGCAGAATTTGTCGATCGACCCGATACATAATATCGAAAGCGGTGTTTACACTCTGCGATACGATTTCTTTTATTTACTCGGAGCGATTACGAGGTATTCGACTGGAAAAGTAGGATTACTCCTTCAATCAAGCTGTTGATCTGTTGATCTTATTGAATTTTGGAAAATTCATAACAAATCTGTCAAGGTAAACGTTTTTCTGCGTCACCTTGATTTCGCTCGATCAGGGTTTCGTTTGTTTACATACAGAAACAAATACTTTCGCAGACTGCAAAATTAGAGCGTTAAATATTTATTCCATTTCTCGTGTATCCAGAAAGTCGCAGAGATGGACGCGCGATATTATATGGTTTGTTTACGACTCCGTGGATCGAAGAAATCTCGTGCCGCACAGGATCCATGATCAATGGTCGATGAAAACGACTGTTTTTATTTCTTCTGCAAACTTTCGCCGGAATTAATTCTATTTATAGGTTCTTCAATCTCTTCGGTGTCTAAAACCGAACACGAAAAAATTCCAAATTGTTGAACCTTTTAGCACAAGGGTTACGAAAAATCGATATTTTCAGCCTAGTTGTAAAGTCGCCCGATGGAAGAAATCGACAACAAAAGTTGTGCGCCAGTGAAAGAAGTAAACAGAGGATCGGCTTTTCGAGTGACAACAAAATTGTTTGCCGAGTCAAAATAGAGGGTATCGGCGGGGAATAGATATTGTAGCGTAGGTTCCGTGCTCGATTCGATCACAGTTCGTCGTCGCGGAACCGAGGGAAGAGTGTAGCTGATCGTAATCGTGAGTAGAATTATATTTGTGTAGAGCGCGGTTGCACGCGGAGGTGTCTACGACGGTTATTCAGCCAATCAGGTCCTCGAACTCGGTTAACCTTGTAATGTAACAACGAATCCATTAGCGTGACGCCTCAACCACCAAAGCTGCTATATTTTCGTGTTGCAAGTCTGCTCGCTGTTTCGAGCTTACAGAAATATTTCGCCGTTCACGGTTAAGAGAGTTCACGGTTAAACGATCGTAGGATATCGTGTTATTACAAATACGTCCCGATCAAGTAATATTCAGAGCGAAATATATCATTGAGTCCGTTGCTCGAGATGGCGAGCGGACATTGGGCAGAGGGGCAAAGGGGAGAGAAGCAGACAGCTCGGAGCTACGGCTCAATTTGGGGTCCTTGGAGCGCTGTGCTGCGTCCGGCCATAGAAAAAAATATGTATCTAGACGAGCAGGCTGAATCCTTGTGCAGTGCTCCCCGTCTTTTTCTCCATTGTTTACGTCCTCGAACTCTATCCAGCGAAACGCTCTGAGTTTTGTCCTTTTCCCGTCACTCCACTCCTTCTCCCCCCCTCCTCTCTCTCTCTCCTTCTGTCTGTCTCTCCACCTCTCCCCCCATTTAACTTCCGTCTCTCTCTCTTGTGCACGTGAGCAAGCAACGCACCGAGGTATTAGAGAACGTTGGCGTTGTTTAGGTGAACACGTTGGCGTCCATGCGACGCACAGACGCGTGCTTCCATAGCAGATCTCTCCTTAACCTTTTTATGGTGCCCCTGTTATGTGAATTTTATTTTTCCTCGCTATTTTCGATACCGACCGATACACACGCTGAAAAGGTTTCGGTTGTTCTTCTATTTCCCCGTTCAATTGTTACGCCATACATCAATGGCTGTTTACGTTGATTACGGTATAATGTTCTGTATTTGCCTCGAGCCGCGCCTTCGTGGTAAATCACCCAGTTAGGTCGAGCATACATGAAATCATCTCGATTGTTATCGAACACGAATCTCGGCTGTGTTTCTTCCTCAGCTTTTGAATCCAAGGACACGCTTTTCAGGACTCGAATTCGCTATTCGAATGCATCTCGCAAGTTTTTCTCATCGCGTGTCCATTGCGGCAGAGAGCGGGTCTCCTCTCGCGGCCGCTCGATGATCAATCAACGACGTCCATTGTCCCCGCGATACTTGGCGTTTCGTAAT